AAAGAACAAAAGCTACTGGAGAATGTTCTGTGTCAGTGTCAGTTGGAAGGGATTATTCCTCAGGGTAGCCAAGACTGTGTATTTTACCTGTCAAGCCTAAGTTTTCACTATTTCACTACAAGATTTTCTCATCTATATGCATTTAAATCTGAGTGTTTCACTGTCCTTGGAGATGGTTCTTATAATCTCTTTCCATTTCATTTTCACTTTTCTTATTATCATTATGTATGTGTCTCTTGAAGAGGACAACTCACTGTTCCTCAGAGTCTTCTGGAAGAGATTGTCTAAATTTACTCTTGATACCTCCATCTACTGCATAACTTTTAATTTCATTTGGATAACTGGATCAGTAGATGTGTGAAGCATACCTTTAAGATCTTTTTTTCTTCCTGTGAAGTTCTGCTTTTCAGATTAGTAGATGATCTTCAAAGCTATTCTCCTTCTGTTTTCTCTATAAAGCTCTAGTTGTGTTTAAGTTTTCATGGTACCCATATGACAGAAATTCCTGTTGTCCTTGCTTTTAAACAGATTTCAAAGAACTACACTGTTGAGCAGAATTCTGTAGGTGAAGCTACAGAACTAGCTCCTTGCGTTATGTACATTTGTACCATTTTAAGTACTGAACCTCTTGGTGCTCAACCATAGATGTAACATACATTAGAGAGACAGAATAGATGGCTGTTTTATCTTCCTTTCCCTATACCTTGTTGAGCCCGAACTGTAACCCAAATTGTCATGTCTCCAAGCCTGCTATAAACTCTGCCTTGCAATGCATTTCAGAATTTAACCTACAAATTAAATTCAATTTAAAAAACCTACAGATGTGGTCTGTGGTCACTTCAATTTCAGTCTTGATTTAATACGTTATGCAAATTGTATACTTCACATTGGAGAGCATTTGTGAAATGCGTGTCTCAACTTTCTGTCAGAAGTTCATGAGAACTGCTGGAGGATCATATCTGCTGATGGGACAAGGTTCTTGAGCAGAGTAGCACCGGTGTTGGCTTCTTTTTTTTTGGCTACCCTGCTGTCCTGTTTGGATGGGTCAGGAACTCTGGTGAGCTCCAGCTTCTTCAGGATTTACACCAGAGGAGTTCTGCATCATCATTCAGGCTGATCACATTGATACGCAGTGAAGCAATGAAGTCCAATTGATGTTACTTTGCTTCAGTGCTATGGAGCGACCAGTGATGTAAAGAATCTTGGAGAGCTTTAGTCTGCAGTCTTCTGTTTTTCCTGGATTTACACTATCTTACAACACACCACAGCAATACTGACCAACTGTGAATACAGCAGTGACTTCTGTGAAAAACACTCCCCGGAATCTATACTTTCACTTTTCATCTGATGATTCCTTTTTGTCCTTAAAAAAAAAAAAAAAAAAAGTACCAAAGTGAGCTGTCTATACAGATGTTAGCACTACTGGATCCCATCTCTGATCTGATGGGAAACAATTGCCCAGATGCAGCTCTGCTGGTTGTTCAGGGTTGTAGACCACACTGTCTATAACCTCAAGTGTCCCACTGCCTTTTAAGTGAGAGCATTTTTCCCAGTTACTTATTATATAGTTTTTTACTGTCAGAAGATTGCTTCTCCCCTTTATGGATATAAGTTGCTCACTGTTTTCTTTATGGCCACTGTTTTCTTTATGCCATCTTCTATGTAGTTGAGGACATCTGCTGTCTCACTCCTCAGTCAACTCTTTCGTACTGAACACATCCACTTCTTTCAATCTTTTCTCGTCACCTTTCACAAACTATTTAACATTCTCACTGTTTTCTTTGGCAGGTTTTTCAGTGTAATTGCTTCTTCCTCTGCTGCATTCTTACAGTATAGGTCAGCTTTAGCACTGTCATTGCTCACATCATGGCTGAAATGAATAGAAATAACTTCCCTTTTTCTGCATGTAGGGCATTCTGTTAGTATGTGTCTTGGTCTTCTTTCTCAGAGTGTCTTCTGCAGTGGGGTTGTTTACTTATACAGTTCATTTCCCTTTTTGCATTTCTATGTTTGATGTGTTTTATTCCTAAGTTCAGAGTTTTGTGTTTCTTTTCATTGTGTGTAACTGTGCTGGTTTCAGACTGTTTATGACATCATGCTAAGTGCTAGTCTTGTTTTGCACAATTTATTCCAGTCTGATGTGAACTCAGATTTACTCATTGTATTCATTATTACCACCGTCAGTGCTGTAAATAAGATAGTAGATTGGAACTAGGATGAAAACAAATTACTTTGCTCGTTTACAGCAGTACACTGTTTGAAATCTCTTCACAATCTTCTTCTAAACTGTGAATGACCACAACTTGAATAAGGGTTGGTGGTTTTTTTTTAAGAAGATAAGCAGCTAGCTATGATGACTCCATCAAGACATTATCTTTTTATTTTGCTTATAGGAATGCTTTGAAGCACACTATCAAAAGCCTTACTGAGGCCAGTAAGCCCTCACAGAAAAGTATTAAAAGGTTTCATGTGACTGCCCTTTGATAAATCATAGCCTTTGATAAATCATTATGGCTTCAAGTTGCACCAGGGGAGATTCTGGTTAGGTGTTAGGAAATACTACTCCAAAAGGTCGGGCACTGGAATGGACTGCCCAGGGAGGTGGTGGAGTCACTGTGTGTGGAGGTGTTCAAGAAATGTTTAAATGCTGTGATGAGGTACATGGTTTGGGGTGAACTGTTGGTGATAGGTGGCAGTTGGATTGGATGATCTTGAAAGTCTTTTCCAACCCTGGTGATTCTATGATTCTATGAGTTCACACTGGCTGTTCTTCAGTATCTAAAAGATGTTTTCCTTATATCTAACCTAAATCTACCCTATTTAAGCTTGAAACCATTTCCCCTTGTTCTAACAGACTCAGCTAGAGAGTCTGTCCCCTTCTTTCTGTAGATTCCCTTTAGGTATTGGAAGACCACTCTCAGGTCTCCTTGGGGCTTCCTCTTCTCCAGGCTGAACAGCACCCACTCTCTCAGCCTGTCCACACAGGAGAGGTGTTCCATGCCTTGGTTCATTTCTGTGGCCCTCCTTTGGTCTGTTTCTCTCCTGTACTGAGGACTCCATGTGTGGACGCTGTCTTCCAGCTGAGTATTCTTTGACTGGAGTGATTTATTTTGCAAATTCTTACTTCTGAGTATTGTGGAGCCTCTGGAACTAATCATAAAAAACTTTTTTCCTCCAGTTGGTTTGACTTGCACAGGTTTTTACCAGGCAGCAAGTCTGGCCCCGTGTCCACATACGTGCTTCCTCTTTTGTGAATAAACATTCATACCATTTCCTGTTCAAAGATGACCCCCTACATGGTGTAATTTATGTCTTTTCTTTTTTTGGCAATAACTTCTGCAATACACTGTAACATAGGTTTTTGACTAGCTGCTAGGTCTTTTACTTTCATCAGTGTGCTTCTGTACAGGGTAGAAAACAACTTGCTCTGTTTGAAAGAAAATCATAATTTTGAATAATCCGAGCTTTATACCTTGTTACACATATTCACAATTAGATACTGTCTGCAGTGGAAAGATGAAAAGAATAACTGTGATATACAACCAGCTTTCCTTTTCAAAATAGGGCAAAAATAATGAGAAAATCCACAGATTTCTTCATAGTTCCTTAATGGCTTCTTGCTTATATTATTATGGAATCGCCTTTAAAAAAAATTCCAGTCTTGTTTTGCCTGGTATTTGGAATACCAGTGTTGACTGCTGACAGTGAATCCCTTTTCTTTCTCTGTAATTCTGGCTTTTCTCTGTCTGCTGTTACTGCTTCCTCTAGAGTGGAACCATGTTGCTCTCAAAACTGGTGCAACCTCCAAACAGCTGCCTGTATTTATGCATCTTTTATTTTAGGAGTCAAACCTGTAATGAGATGCCCCTAATACCTTCCATGAGATGCCCATTCTCACAGGAGGAGAAATGGATTCAGCACACTCTGGGTTTTGCCATACCAGTGAAGAACAGTAGTAGCCAGAGGTTATGTGTCACCAAACACATTGAATAGTCATGGAAATCAAGAGACTGCAGGGGAGGAAAGCTGCAGAACAAGCATGCAAACTCTGCCATGCAGCAGCTGGTAGATCTAAGACACCCACTAATATCTGCTGGAGTTGGAAGAGAATCTCATGCAGAAGAGAAAGTCTTTTCCTCTCTCTGTGTTGGCTGCCCTGGTGGGTTGATGGCCAGAAGGTTTTTCTTTTTACTTAGAATCTGCTTAACTGGCTCTTGTTCTTTGAAAATCTTGTCCTGAGTATTCATGGTGAAATGTATTGTACTTATTTTGGCATTATTTCAGGGCTGATTGTTCTTAAATCATACTAAATATTTACTGATTTATTTCACTGAAGAATGAGCAAGCTACTCTGATTACTGGTTTTGCACACCAAGTACATACAACTGTGCTATCACTCTAACATCCGAAAAACTGAAGTCAGCTAGTTAGCTCTTAAGATGATTTCTCCTCAAGCATTCAGCTGGCAGTGCAGACTGATTTCAAAATTCATGCTTTCATTCATCTGGTGTTGTTCAGAGCAGACTACATTATTAACAAAAATCTGGGCTCACACCATACAGTGAGTGGTCCTGCCTTGCTTTCATCTGCTGGTCACTTACAGTTCATTAAAGTATTTTCCTATGTGATGTTCATTAATCTTTCAATAATGGTTGATTATTCAGTAATTCTGATCTGCTGAAACAAAGGTGCAAGTGTTGCTATGTAGTTTGCAGCCATATTTGACTTGAGGGCAAGATTATTCTTTCTTGCATGGCCTTTCATAGTTGCAGGGTTAACATAATAATAGAAACTTGTGGAAAGTGCGTCAGGATGTTAATTATTTAGGACTGCAAATTATTTTTGGAGGTCTAGATGAACTAAAATGCAAAAGGATTCTAGAATATAATCAAAAGATGTTTCTAAACTCTGTGGCAGGACTCTAAATTGGCTGATGTCTAGGGCTTGACATTTATATGTGGATAACTGTAGTTATAAGCTTTTTCTCTGCTTAATTAAAGGTACTCCTCTGCAGAAGTAAGAAAGCAATTTACTCTTCAACCAGGCTTTGCACAGTTCTGCCAGCGTAGCTTAAGTACTCCTGGCTTTTCTACTCTTCATTTGGTAAGTTCTGAATTTGTCTTCTACATAATCCATCTGCATTACATAACATTTTTAGGCTAAACTAAGTGAGCTTTTTTGTCCATTTTGCTTTCCATTGTCTTATTCCTAAATATCAAAATCCTTCTTGATCAGCGGGAAAATTACACATTTGAAGGAACTGGGAGTGGTCCTCAGAGTCTGAAATAGACAGTCTGCATGCTACTGTAAACCAAAGAGAAGTAGTTAAGTATTGGAGTATAATACAGCCATGCCCTGACAGAGACATTCAGCTCTGCTACCAAGTAAAAGCATTGTGTGAGGCCAAAGATGATCTGCAAAAGGAGATCAGTGAATAAAAAAGAAAAAGAGTATGGTGAAGACTCAGCAAGGCTTAGAACCATAGAATATCCCAAATTGGAAGGGACTGATAAGAATCACCAAGTCCAACTCCTGGCTACACAGAAGACCACCAAAAATCAGACCCTGTGTCTGAGTGCATTGTCCAGATTAGTCTTGAATTCCAGCAGCTCGGTGCCATGACCACAGCCCTGGGAGGCCTGTTCCAGGTCCCAACCACTCTCTGGTGAAGAACCTTCTCCTGATATGCAGCCTGACCCTCCTCTGTTGAAGTTTCATGCTGTGCCCTTGAGCTCTATTGCTGTTGCCTGGCTTAACGAACAATTCCCAGAGCCAGCGGCCGAAACTTTGCACTGACCCTTATTTTCAGTGCTGTTAAGAGAAAAATGCTGAAGAGTGTCTTGATTGGCATAAACCTTACTGAGTCAGTGGTTATATGGTCCAAATCATCTTCAGCCTGACATGCAGAAATCAGACCGTATGACACTGCCCTTATGACAGATAGAAAAGTTGCCAGGTCTTCTTTATTGCCTTTCAAGAGGATGACTGTTCTGCAAGTATGCTATGCCATTCCAAAAAAAGCCACGCTTGTCTGGGATTTCAATACTATTTTTTTCTTTTTTTGATTAAGACCCAGAAAGTAGGAGGAGGAAGTCTTTGTGCACCAGTGATTGTGAAAAATGGAGAACAGGAGCTGTAAGCGTTTACTTCCCGTGTGTCAGGGCCTCCCGCCACAGCTCACTTCCTCAATGTGAAGTGCTATGGTGCTTTAGCTTGCTGGTCGTGGTTTTTCAGCCCGGGGGTGGCTGGCTTCTCTTCTTCCGGCGTACAATTGCTTTAGCTCTTGAGAAACGCGATAACGTTTCATTTCCTGGATATTGCGCCGCAGCTGCCATTTTGTGTGCTATCACCATCCGCATGCCTCTAGTCCACCCTCCTTAAAAAGGTATGTTTGTGGTAATGCTTTGTGGCATTTTCTATAGCATGATTTCTTTGCACACCTCCATGATAGAAGCAGTTATCTTTCTTTGTATACTTTATACTTTGCACATCAGAAAGACCATTGCCCTCCTTCTCATTTACCTTTTTCACCATCGTTTCCACTTGTCTTCAACGAGACAGAGTTACAAGACATAATGAAATGTGATGTATTTGACTTGCTGGAACAGAAAACTGTGATTTCTGAAAGGATGTGCAATGCTTAACTGAAAATTAGATTTTATTAAGCAACATTATTTTGCATGCAAAACATTTCATCTTCAACAACTGACAAGATATGTGTGGTGTTTATTTTTTTTTAATTGCAGCTGTGTTTTGCTTTACTCTTTTGCATTTTGTTTTGCACAACTCTAGATATGTATTCATGCATTAACATGCAATATTTTATCCACAAGCAGTATAATAAATCAACTTCACGGATATTGTCTGAAGACTATACTGAATATTAATGAGAAGTTAAAAGCTAATAAAGATCACTATTTACCCAGAACTCCTGAGCCTGTATGCTCAGCTCTTTGCTAGGTATAAATCAGATCGTGCTTAACCTATAGTTTTGTGAACTTCTTCAGATGACTGCTTCATGATTCTCAGTTTTAGACTTTACCTATGAGTAAGAAAAGCAAAGAAAGAGGGAGATTTTCCCTAAACTGGTTCTGGAGAATGCTGTTGATCCCTTAAGGGTAAGCTCTGACATTTCATTCCTGTGGAGATCCAATAAAAGAGGAACCTGTGGTTTATTTGACATGTGTCTCAGTGGTCTCTGCTCCATCATTTGCCACATCTATTATTTTTCAAACATGCAGCATGCTTTGTTTCTAGCGCATTTTTTCTAAACCTACTTCACTTTTCTCAATGTTTCTGAGTTTTTATTAGCTGAATAACTTCCCCTATGATATTTCCAGAACACTAATAAGCTTCCAATACTTGGATTATACCATATATATAATTTTTAATTAACTTTCCTATCTACAATGACTGATGTGGCAAAGTGTGTGTGAGCCATGTTAGTTCGGAGCTACCAGAGCATTGCTACCATTAAGCACCCTTGTCCTTTCATAAGTTGTAGAATTCTTCACTGTCCTTTTGTGATAAAATTTCTGTGTGAAGCACAGTTATTTACAGAATTATTATTTATTTCCTACACCACTATTACTTACTTCATACTCAGGTGAAAATATAGTCAGCTTTCCTGACAGTCTTCCTTTAGTAGGACCCAGTAATAATGAGAGAAGACTTCATAATTTTAGCCTGCAGATTGTATTTATGGACAAGAACACAGAAACATAAGAAGAATAGCTCCAGAATATTGGATGAGACTGTTGTCACAGTAGTGTGGCATATAAAGGCAGTATCGTTATTAAGGACATCCGGAGCCTTATTTTCTTCACACTCCACCATCAGAACCAAATAAATTATCTGTCTCATCAAGGCTGAGACAAACTGTTGTTGGCAGCTTCAGAAGGCAGCTGTGTGAGATGTATTGAGTCAATGTGTTACAACGCAATCCTTATTCTTTACAGTCAAGGATGATTTGAAGATATTTTTTGGCTAATTATTTCCTCCTAGTAAATTAATTATTGCAGGGCTGTTATTTGAATGCTCTTTCGGTCCTTGCTCTGAACTGCGCTTAGGCATCCATGATGTTTCAGGAACTCACAGAACATAAAATAGAGTTTTCTAAAGCTGTAGTTCTTGAATTATTTGTTACATGTCAAGACAATCAACAGTAAGAAGTGCTAAACTCTGTACACAGCTGGATAGGTGTTCTATTTTGTGCATGTATATAAGCTATTTTTATTGACTATATAGAAAGTAGAATTTCTTTTTTCATCTACACAAGGAAAAATATAATAAAAACAACACATGAAGTTACATTTATATGTATGTAGAACAACTACAGGTACAATAAACAAGATTTTTTGCCTCTGTTTTTGAAAATGAACAGACAAAAAGAGACAGGTGGCTTTGTAGCATTCATGATTGGCACAGTTAAACTTTGGATTGGCACTTGTTAAACTTTGTTGTGAATCGAATGTTCTGTATAAAAGTGGTTTATAAAATACAGCCAAATAAATTTGCTCTCTGTCAGGGTGCAGTGCCAAATGCCATAGAAATGGTGAATATATAAGGTTTGCAATAACAATTTCAGTAGTTCCATGTAATCTTTTGTGTAGTTACTATTCTAACTGTTGAAGTAAAATTAAAATTCAGAAGAACTGAGAGGCATCTGCATGACTATGATTATTGCCAGCTCCCTGTGAGCTTGCCGCTGCCTGTCACTCTCTTCTTGGTCACCTTGGCCTTGTTCTTGCTTGCTGCTGCCCTTTCACATTGGAAGAGGGGGACTAAGTGCACTTCACAGGGATCAAGCAGATTACCAGTATCTGTGAAAGCTCAGCAATGAAAATAGGCACATATTTGGTTTTAGCCGTAATACCTTCTTCTGCATGTTAAAATTTTCTTTTTCATCATTTCTTTTTCATCTAATTGTTTTGTTATCAACTTTTCCCTACATTCAGTGCAGTGGCATAATACATAAGGTTAGAAGTCTGTTCCTGTATTTAATAAACAAGGGATAATTAGAAAAAGAAATGAGGCTCCCCACCGGGGGCGGGCCCCGCGGAGAGAAAACAAATCACCAGTTTTAAAAAACACATCTTTTGCTAAAACAAACTCCTCTTTATTTCTTTCATTAGACTTCCTTTTATGATGCAGTAGACCCAGTAGATTTCGAAGGCTTTCTAATGACACAGCTGAACAACCTGGACTCAGAAATGGCGCATGAACTTGGTGATTTTCCTGAAGATGACTTGGACATTGTCTTTACACCCAAAGAATGCAGGACTCTGCAGCCTTCTATGCCAGAAGATGGGTGAGGAGACTTTTTCTTTCTCTGAAATGCAACAGATTTTTAAAAAGTGTTGAACAGAAAGATGTCAGTGCCTGTTAACCTCAGTCCTCCATCTGTTCAGCCGTCATGCAGTTACTTTAATCATGTGTACTTTGCCACTGATTCTGTTACTCTCTTTAGGACAGTTAAAGTCTCATAAGGGCTTCACTGCCTAGCTGTTAGCAGCAGGTATGAGGTAGTAGTAGATCGAAAAGAACAGGGGAGAAGGACAGGAAACTAATATGAAAAATGATTTTATAACTGTGAATCCTTACGTTGATTTGTAAGATCAAAATTTCTTTCTTTTTTTTTTTTTTTTAAATTCCCTCTTGGCTGTTTATTACATGGCATTGATCAGATCACTCAGTGTCTCTTATTCAGTGTCTTTCTTGCTTAACAATCACAAGGTTTTGAGGAAGGAGTATCTGTTGATTTCTAGTGTGGAAGTCATTTCTGCGTCCAGGTAGATATAGGTAGATATTAATGAAATAATCAAGAAGCTTTCCACTGTTTTCAACAGTTTTTAGATTAAAATAGTTTCCATGTTTCATAATGGTACTCAGCCGTCCTCAAAATATTTAAGCTAGTTTGATAAACAGGAAGAATACAGGCAGCAGAGTTTTTTACAGTGAGAAAAAATGATGACTTGGAAATTTTGCTAGTAGGGTTTAGAAGAGTTCTATAAATTGTATACAAAATAGTCTCCAGGGATTGTTTGGCTAGAAACAGTACCCTCATGTGAAAACACAAAATCATAGCCAAGTCTGCAGACAGCAACAAACAGATAAATTTGAAGTCAGCATAAGTCAACCCCAAACTGCTTTGTGTGCAAAGACAGCTAAGGATGCATGTTTGTTCAGGTTGGGGCCTGGCTCCTTCAGTTTGTCTTCACAGAATCACAGAATCACAGAATCACAGAATCACCCGGGTTGGAAGGGACCTCAAGGATCATGTAGTTCCAACCCCCCTGCCTAGCAGGGCCACCAAACACACACATTCAGATCAGGTTGCCCAGGACCCCGTCCAACCTGGCCTTAAACACATCCAAGGACGGGGCATCCACAACCTCCCTGGGCAGCCCGTTCCAGGGCCTAACCACTCTCCTTGTATAGAACTTCCCCCTAACATCCAACCTAAATCTTCCCTCCTTCAACTTGGATCCATTTCCCCTAGTCCTGCTGTTGTCAGCCCTTTTGAAGAGTTTACTCCCCTCGTGGGTGTAGGTTCCCTTCAGGTATTGATAGGCTGCAATGAGGTCACCCCGCAGCCTTCTCTTCTCCAGGCTGAACAAGCCCAACTCCCTCAGCCTGTCCTCATAGGGGAGGTGCTCCAGCCCCCTGATCATCTTAGTCGCCCTCCTCTGGACCCTTTCCAAAATCTCAATGTCTTTCTTGTACTGAGGGCTCCACACCTGGACACAGTACTCCAGATGGGGCCTCACAAGAGCCAAGTAGAGAGGGACAATCACCTCCCTGTCCCTGCTGACCACCCCTCTCCTGATGGAGCCCAGGATCCCATTTGCCTTTCGAGCTGCCAGAGCGCACTGCTGGCTCATGTTCAGTCTCTCGTCCATCAGGACCCCCAGGTCCTTCTCTGCCGAGCTGCTCTCAAGGACCACTCCTCCCAGCCTGTACGGGTGCCTAGGGTTCTTCTGGCCCAAATGCAAAACCTTGCACTTTGCCATGTTGAACCTCATTAGGTTCACCCGAGCCCAGCCCTCCAGCCTGTCGAGGTCCCTCTGAATGGCATCCCTTCCTTCCACCGTATCAACCGCACCACTCAGCTTGGTGTCGTCAGCAAACTTGCTGAGGGTGCACTGAATTCCCTCATCGATGTCATTAATAAAGATGTTAAAGAGCACCGGTCCCAAGACAGACCCTTGGGGGACACCACTTGTTACCGGCCTCCACCTGGACATAGAGCCATTGACCACCACCCTCTGTCTGCGGCCTTTCAACCAATTGCTTATCCATCGGGTCGTCCACCCATCAAATGCACTTCCCTCCAATTTGGAGATGAGGATGTGGTGGGGGACCATGTCAAAGGCCTTGCTCAGGTCCAGGTAAATGACATCAGTCGCCTTCCCTTCGTCCACCAATGCCGTCACTCCATCATAGAAGGCCACAAGATTAGTGAGGCATGACCTTCCTTTGGTGAAGCCGTGCTGGCTGTCTCGGATCACATGCTCATTCTTTATGTGATCGAGCATGTTGTCCAGGAGGATCCGTTCCATGATCTTCCCAGGCACAGAGGTGAGACTCACTGGCCTGTAGTTCCCCGGGTCCTCCCTGCTCCCCTTCTTGTATATGGGAGTGATGTGACCCTTCCTCCAGTCATCCGGGACCTCACCTGACAGCCACGACTTCTCAAATATGATGGAGAGCGGCTCGGCAACCACCTCAGCCAGCTCCTTCAGGACCCTGGGATGCAAGCCATCCGGCCCCATAGACTTGAATTCATTCAGTCTAAGGAGGCACTCTCGGACTTGCTCTGCCCTTACAGTGGGGAGGGATTTACCTCCTTGGTCCCCACATAGAGGTTTGGGGATGCAGGGTTCAGGGACGTGAAAAAGACTAGAATCCTGGCCACCAGTGAAGACCGAGGTGAAGAACTCATTCAGCACCTCAGCTTTCTCTTCATCTGTTGAAGCCAGTTCTCCTTTTAAATTTAACAAAGTAGGTACGCCCGTTTTGGCCTGTCTCTTCTGGCCAATGTACCTGTAGAAGGTTTTCTTATTGTTTTTCACGTCCCTTGCCAAGTTCAGTTCTGCCTGCGCCTTGGCTTCCCTGATCCCACGTCTGCAAGTCCGGACGGCATTCCTGTATTCTTCCCTGGTGACACAGCCTTGTTTCCAGAGCTTGTACACCCCTTTCTTCGTCCTCAGTTCTCTCAGCAGGTCCTTGCTGAGCCATGCCGGTTTCCTACCTCGCCTGCCCACTTTCTTATTCAGAGGAATGGAGACCTCTTGTGCTTCCAGGAGGGCATCTTTGAAGAGCCGCCAGCTCTCCTCAACATCCTTGTCTTTGAGGGCAGCGCGCCAGGGGATCTTGGCCAGCAATCCATTGAGTAGTTTGAAGTCTGCTTTTCTAAAGTTCAGTGTCCTAAGTGTCTTCAGTATTTTTTTCCCAGCATGCCAAAAGAGATGGAGGCTAAGGTGGAATGACGATTCATGGTGGACTATTTTCATTTCTGTAGGCTGAGACCACTTCTCCCCTATGAAGACATATTTCCAGGATCATTTTGTAATGCACCTATCAATTAAAATAGTAGTTTTCTGTTTCTGCTTTAGTGGTATTAAAAGATGTTTCAAGGAATCTATGAAAAAAAGAGGGGTGTCAGTAACAACAAACGTGCATTCAACAGACTTGTTTTGTACAGAAAATCCCTGTTTAGACGTTCAAACCACTCATATGGAAATTGATGTTACAGAAAATCGAGGTAAAGGACGCATAGTGTGTTAGGGAGGAGAGCATTCAGGAAGGTCGTGCTTCAGAGATTTGCATGCAAGCAGTGCCTCCTGTGGTATCTTCCTGTGCCAAACACATGAAGTAGATGCCACTGACCAGACAGGGTTAATATGCTGCCTGCTAACAAAAGTGTGTCCCATCTGATGCAGGAGGTCAGCATGTGCTACTTCATCCCACCCTGGCACGCAGTGGTCTGCTTGTCTGAGCCCCAAGGGTTGTTAGCCAGCTTGGGCTGCAGATCTATTAGGAGCTCTTGGTGGAAAGTGCTGAGAAGTTTTACATCTTTCTTCCATTCCCGCATCACATGTATCCTCACTTAACAAGCAGTTTTTACACAGGTCACTAGTATATTTCAGAGTAGGAGTAAGGAAATTGTGCTACAACATCGTGACAGAACGTTTATGGAAACTGACCTTAATTTATCACATTTTAATGCCAATCAGCATCCATTCTCTCAAGCAGTCTGCCAACTCCCTACATTGACAGAGGCTTAGTTGAAAATCATAAGCTTACAGCATATTTTCAGATCTCAACATTCTGTTGAGCTGTTGGAATTTTCTCCATTTCAGTATAAAAGAGTACATGAGCTGATGCCTCTGGAAAAAATATCTCTATTTGTTAACAAGTTTTGGAAAAACACAGAAGATAGGTATCTGCAGTACTTTCTTTTGTTTTACAGTACTTTATAGCAACATCTGTCTTGAAACGCACAGTGTGGCAAATGGTTATCTCTGTTAAATGCATTTCTGTTAATTTGGAAACACAACAACCCAAACCCGTGTCTGTGTACTCATTCAGTACACCTGTTGTTTAAAACTGAAATGTGGCTTAGCAATACAATAAACATACGGGAGTGGACTAGCAGAGAGCCCTTTATCTGTACAGCATGTTTAGTTAAATTTCTTTTTCCTTAAGGCATGACGTAGGTACTAAAATATTTCCCATATGTTGCTTTTTCTCCAGGGTTGAGCTGGATTCGCATGTACGAGACTGTGTTCAGACCTATATCCGGGACTGGCTGATTGTGAATAGAAAGTAAGCTACCCACAAGTAAATGAAATAGAAAATACCTGGTATGCTATTTTGCATGTAGAAGATGCGTTGTTATAAATAATCTGAGCGAATGACAATTTGAATCAGTACCTGAAGATAAAAGGGGATTTCTCAGTAGTTTTACTCTACTGTCTTGTTTGAGATGGTGGGCTTTGCTAAATATTTTTATACCTGCTTCTTAATTATTCAGGTTCCCCAGGAATTAATCTGGACATAATTCATATTCAGTGTGTAGCAATGATCCTTCATCTCGACCTCTTATCCCTTCCTTCTTTTTATTCTTTTTTCTGATGCTTGAAGAATCATTTTGTGTTTGTTTGTCTAAACTCTGTGCAAGGACAATCACAACTTGAGTATTGTCAGTTCTTACTTTGTCCATTTTCATATACGGTTGTTGGCTGTCCAGTCTTTCTTTCCAGAAAGGAAAAAAGAAGATTAGAGATGTTCTTGGCAGTGATTGGTGGTATCATTGGATTATTAGCATAGCATCAGTTAGAAAAGACTATTTTCTAACTGTGAGGGATTGTCTATTGCTGTCCGTAAAAGAGTTGTGTTGTTAGTTCTGCACTCTGCTGAGAGCTGCGAGGAGACTTCCTCCAGGGGCCTATGAAACTGGTTCAGTTCTCAGAAGTGCACATGGTGAGTCACCAGGAAGAAGCTAGTGGGTTTTTGCAGGCTCCCTACCTACACCGCACAGAGCGCAGTGCTCGCTCCATCACACAGCTCTCCTCTGAGCGCTGTGTAACGGGCCAGCCTTGTCTGTGCACACAGATAAGGACTGAGCAACCCAGTAGGTGCAGCAGACAGTGTTGTGTGGCTGTGTTTGCTGTTATGCACGCGTGTAGAAATGTGAATGGAGCCAGAGAAATACACTTGTTTCAAAAGGCTTTTAGGGTGTTTTACTGTCTCGCTGATTCAGATGAGGCAAATTTGCAGATACTTTATTGAGTTTGAGGCCTCCCAGAAAGCTGATCTTTGATGGCTAACAATGCAAGCAGGTTACTAAAAATTACAAAGAGAAAGAAAGCATGAAAGATGCTTTAGTGTCACGTAAATCAGGGGTTATTATTGGGAGCCTTATGGCACCATTCTCAAAACAAATATGAGAGGAAGCAGAGGAGTAAAGAGAGAAAGAGTACTCATAGAAAGCTTTCCAACATGCTGAGAAAGAATGAAAAGTCAGTGGTTGCCAGTTTATGAGACAAAGATTCATAGGGCAGATCTCAGTTTATAATCTGGAGAGGTGTGTGTATGTAGCTCTTGTCCACTCCTGGATATGAAGGGTGGGAGTAGCACAGTAAAGAGGAAAAAAGGTTGTGGTCCTCACGCCTCAGAGAAGTAGGACGTGAGTAGGAGGGTCTGGGCACAGTAGTAGGTCTGTGTGTTGTAGTGAGTCTGGCTAGCGCAGAGTTCACTTTACCCACAGCAGCCCATACAGCGACGAGCTTTGCATTTGTGGCTAGCACTGTGCTGATATCATAACCAGCGTTTTTTCTGTGGCTGGACAGCACTGACACACAATCCAAACCAGTATTCTGGAGTGGGCAGGAGGTGGGAGGGGACAGCACCAGGGGAGCTGATCTGAACTGATCAAAGGGACATTCAGTAGCATATGGGATCACACCCTGGCAAAGGGGGAGGAAAAGGGAGATCTTGTTATTAAAGCATCTGTCCTCCCAACCAACTTGTATGTGTATCAAAGCCCTGCTTCCCAAGATATGACTGAGCATAGGAATACTTGCTAATGGGAAGTAGAGAATAATTGTTTTCTCTCTCTTTGCTTCCACATAGGCTTTGTTTGTTTTTAATTTCTTTATTCTTTAGTTAAACCATCCTTATCTCAAGAACCTTTTTTTCTTATCATATTTTCTCCCCTGCTCCTTCCTTTGAAGAGGAGGAGCAAGAAAGTGGTCCTTCACTGGAGATAGTGGAAAGTGGTCCTTCACTGGAGGTAGTGGAAAAAAAAAATCAACAAAGCCTCTTGTAAATGTTGAAGTGTCTCAAAAGAAGGTTGTGTATAATTCCTCTCTCCCATTCTAAGTAGTAAATGCAATTCCAAAGCAAGGTCACATCCAAAGAGATCTTGTTGATCTTGTATCTTTATTGCCTTTGGTTTTCATTTGAACTGATGAATGATTCAAATTCAAATAATTAATATTAAAATACATATAATACAGTTATATATATACATAATACATAATATATATACATAATACAGTTATATGTATATAATTCAGTTGTATCCAAAATGTAATAAAAAGGTGTCTCCCTGATCAATAATGACTTATTGTGACATCACAATGAAGGTACTGAGATATTTAGATGCTACTTTTAAGTGCAATGGAAAGGAAAATGAATGAAGCTGGATAGTGTGACTAAGGGGAGTGATTATTAAAATGCTACTACAGAATTTAGCAAATTTTTTGGAAGGAGAGAATAGTCTAAATGCTTGACTTAAGGGGAGCAGCTAGGTCTAGGCATGCTAGGGACCAAATGACATCTCAGACAAGCAGTGAGCTCGATGGTGCAGAAGCAGAGAGCCAGCTAAAAGGCAGGTGTTTCTGACCATTATTTCTAAGGTCATTGAGATAATCACTGTGTCTTATGAGTAGCTCAGGGCTGAATTTATTCCTAGGTCAGAATTTTTCTGCTGTCTCAGGGTGAGAATATAACAATGCGAGTGAATTTTCTTCATTTTCAAGCTGTCCTTCATATCCACTGTAAAGCTGCAATGGTTGGCTGAAACATTGGAACATCGCGAAATGTCACATTTTGTATACAGGTTATGGTGTGCTGTCCTTCTGTGCAATTATGTTCCTCATTGCTTGATTTTTAGTTTTTCTTCTTCTGTTTTATTTTCCCCTAATTCCTTTTTGTTCCATCCTGATTTGCTTGGTTTTGTCTCTGCAAGGAACCAAGGGAACTCATACGTTTGCAGTTTGAAAAATAAGGGATCCCGAAAAGATTTTCACAAGCATCTGCAGAAACAAACATTTGAATCAGAAACTTCAGACTCTAGTGAAGCAAGCTTTCAGGTATCTTTCATTATATTTGGTAAAAGTTATTTAATATAGAAGCTGCTCTCAAGGGAAGCAAAAGTCCTGTGTACAGAGACTCTGCAGCAGGTAGCCCTTCCTTACGGGGAGTTTCTGTCGCCAATATTTGTAGAGCCTGGGGATGTTGGTACAAGACTGGTGTGGCTGTGTAATGCCCCTGACACCTCATGGTCAGGGAAGTGTGGGCAACAAAGTAGGCCATGGGCTGATGGAGTCCCACCAGCTGCCTCCTGCTCCTCAATGTGGATGCAGTCAGGTTCAGAGATCTGAAGAATTACAGTGTCACTCTGCCGACTGCCCGCTGTGCTTTGGCTTCCACCATGTTCACTTTGAAAGTTGAAGGAAATCTACCCTTTCCCTTTCTTCCCCGTGGATGCAGAGAGGCACAAACTGGAGGACGGTGCTTACCGTCATCTCCCACCATCTCTCCTTGGTGAGCCCCCTGGCAGCAGTGAAATTAAGGCAGAAAGGCTTGAAAGACAGGCAAGAGAAACCTCGTGACGCCCAAGGTACAGCAGGCAGTAAGAAGTTTTGCTGTTCCTTCATTTTCTGGCAGGCAGGGCCCAGGGCCGTGCACGTGCTCACTGAGGACACCTCCAAGACTGCCCCAGCTTCCTCTGACTTTGACCTGCGCAGCCTGCAGCCCGATCCCCGCCTGGAAAACCTGCTGCGGCATGTCAGCGCGGAGGAGTTTGAGAGGCAGAATGAGGAAGCCCGACGAACCAACAGGCACGCCGAGCTCCTCGCCCTCTACCCGTCTGTGGATGAGGTGAGCTCACAGGGCTTCTGGGACTCAAGCCATGCTTCAGTGGGATGGAGATTGTCCACACAACCATAAAAAGTGTGACTCCTGGCCTGTATACCTGCTTCCTTTGCTTTTGTGTATCACCCTTGAATAATAACACAGTGAAGGTGTGGCCTTCACATGCCTGCCAGCCATCTGGAATGTGCATTCAAGCAGTTGTATCCAACTCATGGTGTTGCCCGAGGTCTTTCTGCCTTCTTTTGATGTAAGTCAGGCCACGTTCTGGTAAAATGGTTGTGTCAAAACAAGCCACATTCACTTGGGAAACACACCAGATGCAGGTGAGGCATGTAGGTATTTGTAAACTTACATCAGTTTTCTTTCTGACTGAAGAGATGAAGTGGCTGCTGAATCAGGGAATGTGCTGTTTTGTAGCTGTGGCTCAGTTACATCACTTGAAGCTGTTATGTAAGCGTGTAAATTTGCAATTATTTTAATTGCGTTTGAACTGTTTAATGATAGGAAGATGCAGTGGAAATACGCCCAGTGCCAGATCGCCCAAAGGAACACCTGGGCAACAGGATTCTGGTAAAGCTGCAGACTCTGAAGTAAGTATTCTTACATCCTGGTCTGGCAGGCTTTGGTGACACTTTTCAATTACAGTGTCTCAATTCATGTGAGCATCTTGCCACAGACACACTGACATTGTATGCTCCTTGTTCACAAAGAGTTTACGTGCTTGCTTGTTCTTGCTTTAGTGTGATTTTGTCAGAAAACCATTTATTTCTGTAGTTACAAGACTTTTTATCTTGTCAGAATGAAAAGGAGTTGGGGATGAGACCAAGTTATTTACTATAAACAAACTAGATTGATCTTTGTTCATAATAGCGATAAATAGAAAAAAAATCAAGAATGGTAGAATCATTTTTAACTGATATCAGAGACCAGCTTTCTGACAAACGCAGAAAATACACTGCTGGCAGTTTATCTCATTTTTTTCCCCACTTGAAGTCAGTTAATAAAATGCACTAGCTAAAAAAAGAAAAATCCTCCAAACTTTAAGAGAGCCAAGATCTGGAATGAAGTGTTTCTCCTCATTTTCTAAGGAAATGACAGCCTAAATCCCCCCTTTTTTTTTTTGTTTTACAGGATCTTAAAAGTGAAATATTAATGAGTGTGTCTTTCCTTAACAGGTTTGATATAGAGATTGAGCCTTTGTTTGCATGCATAGCTCTCTATGATATAAAAGAAAGGAAAAAGGCAAGTGTGCACTACAGCATAAGTAAGGAATGGAGTTGTTCATTCATTCATATTTTCAGCTCAATTTCATTACAGTGTGAAAATTCTAGAATGTTTAGCTTTTCTTTGTTTCTTTTGTTTAATTGTCTTATCTCTTATTTAAAACTTTTAACTCTAAAAATTATTAGAATTGCTTACAAAAAATAATTCAACTTTTGCATAGGTGCATCTTGATCTAGGTTGCTTTAGTCATGCTAGCTCTTTTGTTTTGTGTTTGCAGCTCTTTATTGCATATTTCCATTTACTTCTTTTGACTAATTTTAAAATAACAGTCAATTCATTTTTGCTTTGCAGTACATTTTAAATTCTTTTTCTTTTCAAGATCTCTGAAAATTTCCATTGTGACCTGAACTCTGATTCATTAAGAGGATTCTTGCGTTCTCATACACCCTCCACTGACTTGTCTTCTCTGGCAAGATCAGCAGTATTTTCTGTCACTTATCCCTCATCAGATATTTACCTAGTAATAAAGGTATGTTATAGTGGTACTTTTAACACCATTCTTCCTGTTCCCAGCTGTACCAATTGTCTGAGCATGTGGAGTTGACTAATGTGGTTTTCCCATAGCTGAGAGGCATTCTGGTAATTTCTGATCTTCTTTGTACAAGTATCCACTGGTGTATCTTGTTTCCAATGTAAGAAGTTGGAAGTTTATCAATATCTTACTTTCTAGCTCAGCTGAATGTTTAGGTTTTTCTATTTCTTCATAAGAAAAAAATTAAGTGAAATAAACCGTTTTAAAATTTTTTAAATTGTGTATAAATGGAGTTTTTTTTGGCTTTGGGTTAGTATGTTTTGCATTGGTCTGTTTATTTAATTCTGAAACTAACTTTGCCCAAACCATTTCATTTGGAATGTGTTAATTTTCCTGCTTGTGGTGAAAATGCAGCAGTACCTGATAGATAGCTTTTTTATATACATGTTTTCTGCTTCATAACTAACAATAGGGGAGCTGGGAAAAGTTTATTGTACATTACTCCGTGAAGACAGTTTTAAGCATTATTTTTGGTAGATTTGGGCAGACTTTTCCATACTGCTAGAGAAGTAATGTGTTAAGTTTGGAGTGATTTTTTTTCTTTATGAGCATCTTATTTTACTGCTTTTTGTAGATAGAAAAAGTGCTTCAGCAAGGAGAAATTGGAGATTGTGCAGAACCTTACATGGTTCTTAAAGAAAATGAAGCTGGCAAGGTAAGAAAAACAATCATGAAAAGTGTTTGGATCAAAACATGCGTGCAAAAGGAAACAGGGAAAGAGAAAATCTTTTGGAATGGGACAGAACCCAAAGAACAATGGGGAGAAAGTCAATTGATCAATCCATAGGGCAAGCAATTTGATGTCTGTCGTTGACATGAAGAATTCAAAAGAAGACAAGGTGTGCTTTTGTTCCTAGTCACTTTGGAAATCAGTACTGATTCCAATGTCTTGAGCCATAACGTATCTATAGGTAAGTAAAGGAGATGACAGTGCAGTGAAGATAGCATTAATATTTGTACCTCAAAGGCTTCCTGCTCATCTGATTAGGTAACTTGTTGTGGGGTGTGTATGTCCAGTTCAGTGCAGACATCTGTAAATAACACGATCTTTGTTTGGGGAATTAATTGTCATTTACCTTCCCTCGAGCAGAATGATGGTGTTTCCTAAAATCCCATGTTTCTCACATTCATCAGAATATTATTTCTGTATCTGATGGAGGAGATGGAACTTGCTCATTTTATGATGATTACTCATGCTGGGCACAAGGGTCACTGCAAAAAGATCTGCATTCTCCTTTTCAGTAACAAAAATGAACTAGTTGAAATGGGAACTGAATTTACAGATCAAAACATCTATGGTGCTGACAGTGGTGTAACAGGAAGATATCAGAGATAAGAATACAAATTATTTACTAAATAATAATAATAATAAATAAATAATTTCCCTTTTTTCTTTAAAATGAAGTTAGAATAACTGATTGCTTTTAAAACATTCATTATTTTCTTTGTCTTAGACAAAAGAAAAGATTGAAAAACTGAAAGCCCAAGCTGAATGCTTTTGTCAACGACTAGGGAAATACAGAATGCCATTTGCCTGGATTCCCATAAGTCTAACTAATTTCTTCAACGTTTCCACACTTGAGCGAGAAGTATCTGAGGCTGAAGGTTTGAATGGTACTTGTCTAAGTTTTCTGGCTAACACAAAGCAACTCTTTAGTGGTTCTGTGCTTAGGAAGCAATTTCATTCATTTTTGTCCTCAGGAACAAATGACAGATTCAAATTCATATCTTCTCAGCTTTCTTTTTTAGTTCTACAAGCGAAAGTTAATATTCTCACTATTTCACCTCTGCATATGTATTTTTATGTATTCTAAATATTCTTCAGTTCTATGTTCTATTTTAGTTGAACTGGCCTTTACTATCTGGAATCCCTGTGCAATAAAAGGGAATCAAAATATTTATCTTCTTAGTTTCTGTAGTGTACAAGAGATGTTTTCAAGCTGCATCCAACACTGATCAATATGCTTTGTAACCCACTAACTAGAAATATGAATAAGCCTGTGCTCTGCAGCAGAAATAATGTCAGTCTCACTAGGTGTATCATAGCATTCCATTATTTCACATAGTCTGAAATACGGCTAGTGGGAAATACAGATAAAAGCTTAATGTTGTAGGTACTGGTTGTAGGTACTGGTCTCTGTCCTCTGATGTTACTGGGAACTTGTGGTTTTCTAGCATATCTTTATAGTCTTGGTACTGAAGTAGCACAAAACAAGTTGGCATTTTATTTAATTTCTCTTTGAAGGGAAAGGATCAACTAGTGAGAAGAGGGCAACACTATTACAAGCAAGAAGACTCTCTGAGAGAAGTCTCAGCACTGAGGACAGTTATCCAGTGTCAAACTTCAAAACTGTCTCCCTGACCCACAGTACCTTCTTTAAACAGGTATAGGATGCTCTTTGCTTCTGACTGCCTAAGACATTTTTCATATGTATTGTGTGAACTGTTTTGGGAAAAATTATACAGTGATGTTAGTGGGGATTCAGAGGATAATTGCTGTTGACAGTAACTTACCTTGTTTGCATGTTTCAAGGTAATCACTGAATCATAGAATGGCCTGGGTGGAAAGGGAACTCAAAGATCATCTACTTTCAACCCCCCTGCTATGTGCACAGTGGCCAACCAGTAGGCCAGGATACTCGGAGCCGCATCCAGCCTGGCCTTAAATGCCTCCAGGGATGGGGCATCCACAACCTTCTTGGACAGCCTTTTGTTATGTAGTATTGCTATAAAGATAATGATTTTTGTCTTTCTCCTGTTAGGAAGGAGACAGGCTTAGTGATGAAGATCTCTTCAAATTTTTAGCTGATTTCAAAAGATCATCTTCCTTGCAGAGACGAATTAAGACTTTACCAGGTACACAATTCATTTTAGATGGAATAGTATATATGTACTTTTCTCCTTTAAACCATTTTATAAGTTTCAACCCCAAAATAGAATAAAAATGTGTTTTAAACTATTGTGGAACCTTCCCAGTGTCCCCAGTTAAGTATTGAGATTTGTGTTGAGCTTGATATTCCACAGTGATTTGCTTTTTTTTCTAACTTATAGTGTGTCTGCTGGATGTATTTCATGATCATTCAAGCTGTTTGAAGACAGAGGTTTTCTCTGCAGTGTTTTCCAATGAGTCATATGTTACAGAAGGAGACTAAAATGCCTACATATTTCACCTTGAATTTGGATCAGTATTTGGCTATGCTCAAACACTTGACAAGCTGCTTTTTACTTTTTCAGATAAATTACATCTTGAGATCTTCTGGATTGTAGAGGAACCCCCAAAAAACAGAAACTCAGTGTAAAGCTTCTTTTGCCTTTGTAGATAATTGTCAGAAATGACAAATACAGGTTTCCAAAATAGTTTTTGCTTTCCGAAACTTAAAATTGAAATTGAAAGTTTGATTATACTCATGGCAGGATTATCACTATTAACTATGTAAATGTTGTCCACAACTAGTCTGGATTTTCTGTTGGATGGTTTCTACTTGTCATAGATTAACACAGCAGAATCCTAGTGGAGATGGAGAGACAACTCTGCTATACACCACCCTTTTTTATTCAGCTTCCATATAAACTTGTGTATCCTCCTACATGCATGTTTTATTCTCTTGCAGCTTTCAATCCAAATATCCATTTCTTACTTACGTAGTGTTATTGTGTAACCTCACATACTGTTTTCAGTTTTGATTTATTATACATTGGTTATTTTTTGTATTCTTTGGTAACATTTTGTGTTTTTTTTTAAAAGGAACGCTTAAACTGGAGATCTCTCCAGCTCCAGAAAACCTTGGTTACTGTCTGACACCGGAATTACTACCAGTGAAGCCCTTTCCAGAAAATCGCAGTCGTCCTCACAAAGAGATTTTGGAATTCCCAATTAGAGAAGTGTATGTTCCCCATACTATTTACAGGTAAGATTATTATTATTTTTTTAATGCTTAAGAACCATTTTTAAAGGTAGTTGTGGTTTTACTTTTTTTTTTTTTTTTTTTTTTTAATAAAAGCTGAGAAAATTGCTAACGACTATGTTTTAGACTGATTTACTCTTGTTAGCTGTTAGAAGGTAAGATACCCACTGGATGCTCTATTTAATTATGTAGTTATCCTGTTCCACACAGAATATTTTTAAAATGTTCACAACCTAGCAGCTCTTGTTGGCTTGACATAAACATATAAAATCATGTGGATACTGTGCCCATTTCCTTAGTGAAAGTGTGAAAAAAAAGCAGTAGTTTTTATACAATTGAAAGTACAAATGTAAATGAAGTCAATATTTTTTTTTTCTTTAATGGAAAAAAAAATGGCCAGATTTTAACTTCCCTTTCCATTATTAGGCCTCAGTAAGGTGAAGCACTTGTCAACTCCAGGTTACGTGGTAGTGTATGAAGATTTGCTTTTGAAAACAAAAAGCATTTGGAAACACTTTAAATTGCTAATCTAGAAAGGAGTTTGAGTCTCTCTTTAGTTTTGACATGAGTAAAGTCCTGCAGCTATACATCTTGAATAACAAAGCTACCATGTTTAATCTGTGCATCTCCTGAAGCAAGTTAATGTGTCTCTACCCTATCCTCCAGTTGGTAGGTGTCTGTGTTGGATAAATACCCCTACATAAGAAGAAATGCTTGCTGTAGCTCAACAGCTACACTCTTTTTCCAAGACTTCACACCCAACATGCTGAGCCTCTTCAAGGTTTTTGGGCTCTGTTTTGAATTTCACTCTAAGTAGAAAATGTGGAAACGAAAGAGGAACTATCCTGTATAGGTAGTGGTAATGAAGAGAAGATCAATATAGCATGTTTACCTTAATCTTCACTGTAATTAATGAATCAGTGATGATAACATAGCACAACTGACGTGACAAAAATAGTATTGTGCTGCAAACTGTAAAGTTTTGTTGTTAATACCCCATCCAACCCCAAAGACAGTCTTTTAGATACGGTGGGAAAGTGATGAATAAATGTGGAAGTGCTAGATTTTGTGTCAACAGCTTTGTCACTACAGCTGTATTTGCAGTTAGAAAGGGGAGTCATCAGCAAATATTGTTGATATCTAGCCATAGGTCCCCAGTAAGACAGATGAGTCAGCTTTGCAAACCTTGTGAGAGAAGGACTTCATGATTGCAGGAAGTAGCAACTATGTTTGTGCAGCAGCACTGAAACCTTTTACTATGAGCTAGAGTAACATGGCTCTTTCTGAGATGCTTTTGGCACCCAATAAACACAGTCATGCCAGAAAAAGTGTTGTTAGGGAATGTGTACTGATCCAGTGCTATGGATTTAGATACTAAAAGAATCCGAAATTAGTAAGGTCAATATACGTGTATTTTTTAAATTAAAATGTTACATTGAATGTAGGAGAGATTTATATATATAAATGTATATGAATAACAAAACAATGAAAACTTTTAAAGATACAGTCTGGTAAGATCTTGTTGGCATAATAATACCTCTGCACATATCCGGACAAATACTAATGTAACATCTACTTTTAGTTTGCTGCCTGGATGTTTAAAAGAGATGCAGAAACCTAGTTTACTTTTCTTTCTTTCTGCCCTTCTTTCTCTCTTTTTCTCTCTTCTGTGCTTAATACTGCAATAGTCAATACCTAATGAACATGCGCTCATTTTTCTCCTTTAACAGTATGACAACTCAGGATTTAGCAATACTAGGACCGGTTAAGGAATTGAGAGTATTACCTCACAGGAGGTTCAGTTACGGCAGAAGGCTGCAGAAGTCATGAGAAGGGGATCTAGTCCTCTTGAATTTAATACTGGAAAAGTTTTTAGGTTTTAACTTCTGAAAAAGGTAATGTGAAGTAGACAGTTGTGGGTCAAAAGGTTTCCTGCATTTATACAGCAGAAAACTATTGTGATGGGTAATAGATTATTTTGTGGGTTCTTTTTGTGGTGCATAACATCTCAGTTATTTGTCTGTGGTTTTGGCTTTCAAATACATTATGCTGTTGACTACTTTTTTGTAATATTTGATGTTTGAAGTAACAATGAGCCTCTTCAATTACATACACAGATTGAACATGAGTTCTGGAGAGAATAGTGCTAAGATTTTAGTCAGAATTGACTCTGAGCTCTTGATAACGTTTAAATTAAGAAAGAACTAATTTTCTGTAATAATGTGATGTGATTTGAAACTTCAGGAACCGGATTTTATGAGCTGACCTACCACTCAGTTTATCTGGGAAAATTTTTGTGCTCTGAAAATTTAGTAGAATATTTGTTAAGGTTTTCATGTCAGTGATAATGGATGAATTGAACAGTCACTCTCACCTAAAATGTAATGTAGTCTGGCCACTATCTTTTTAATGCTTAACTTTAGCACATGAGAAAAATCATTCAAACTTATCCAAACTAGAAGAAAATTTTACAAAGTTTTAGAATATATGGTATGGACACATCCTTTTGAAAATAACATTGAAATTCTCTCGTCATGCCATTTATTCTAGTCAGTGCATGGAAAAATCAGCAACTTTGATAAAGTATTTGTGATTTACCATTTTTCTGAAGATCCCTCTCTCAAAAGAGTAGAAACAGAGGAATCATCAAAGATTGAAAGTAATGACTAATAGGTGTATCAGTTTTTGTTTCCAATTTCTTAAGTAGTATATCTATGCTCATAAACAATTTGTAGTTTTTATCAGTGATGACTGATTGCTCCTAATTTGGCTTTTGTTATTCATGGTTTTCTTACTGTAGTCATCAGTGAACACATCTAATATTGTTCAGAAATTTGAGATGCACTTGTGAAACTTTGTATATTGCGTAACTTAGCAAGGAAAAGGATTTCATTACGTTACACACATATTACACAGCCAGTAATTACAGACAGCAATGTTCAGTCAGAAAGATAACAGTCTTGAAGACTGTGCGTAGATTTTGTTTTGGCAGAATATTGGTCCCCGTTGCTTTGGCCATCGGAGGTGATCAAATCATCACTGCTAAGTCTCTTTTAAAGAGTAGAAAAATCAGCAAATTAAAATGAGAACTGTTTCACGGTGTCCTATGCGGAGCCTTGGTTTTCTTGCACTGAAATAGCCTTTTACCTCACAGTCCTTGTGCTGGGTCAGCCTCAGATCCAGAGAAACAGACTGAATTAGTGCTTCCCCTAGAACCCTGTTACAGTGTGGAACTGTTACAGTGTGGATTGATATTGGATGTTCTGTCGTGGCCTTTGTAGACCCATATTGACTCCTGAATGTGTCTATTGCTTCTTGTGAACACGTCTGCCTGCATCTGGAGGTACTTTCTGTAGAGGGAGTGAGAGGAGAAGTACAGTCACACCAGCATTAATCACTGACAGCAGCTGCTGTGGCATGTTGCTTGAGGACTTCCTCTCAGCACTGAGCCTGAAGAGGAACATGTGGCTTCCTGGGGCTCACCACGTCCTGAGGGCGATGCTAACCGCTGCATGGAAATGTTTAGGCTCTCAGGCTGTTGGAGGGAACTGTTGCTGGCAGGAAGAAGCACTCTAGTCACCAAAAGATCTGCTGTGTATGCCTGTCCTTAGTGCAGTGTGAAGAAACTCTTTTGATCATCTCCCCAGCTTCCTGCTGTTCATCACTTTCATCGCTGCCTGATACTCAGAATCAGGGTTTACTTCTGTTCTTCCTCAGCATTGATGGGTTTAATACGCGTGTAAGAGAGGTCCCTAAAACTGCTTGAGCATAAATAGCGCAAGCTTTACCTCTTCTGCACAGTGCTCACTGGAATGCGTCTTTGGTTGTGTAGTCAGCAAAGACCTCTCTGTGATTTTGCATATCTTTCATCTCAAGTCAGTTGTAAATGTAAAAATCGGTGCTCAGGGGCATTATGGAGATTTGTGACATCTTCTGCTGGGCTGCAGATTAATGAAGCAATGGCTGGATTATGCAGCATCCCCTATAAGTATTTCTTCATCTCTGACAGACGTAATATTGATAATATCCTTCCTTTAATATGTCATTCCTCTTAACATAATTCAGTGGAGGTTACTGATATATTTCTCACTTTCACTTAGTTTTTCCTAATATTATCTTGGAGAGAATTTGGCAGAGCTGAAAGTGCACTTAAGATGATTAGGGAAGAAAGTGCGTTAGTGTTGCAGGCAGGAGTACTGTGCTGCACAGAAGGAAAGGCAAGTTACATACTGATCTGTTTGCTAAGACATGCCATGCCTCACATAGCCCTCATGTTTTATTATGTTCCCTTAGAACCAATTTTTATAAAATACTAATGGGCACAACAGTGTGTCCATCTGGGTATGCGCCCATCTGTCAGCTTGCTCTTTTCCCTTCATTAATTAGATTCCTATCCTTTCTAGAGTACCTTATAGATTCTGACTAAGGTTCAGATATTTCAAGTTTACCGTCTGGAATTAAAGCCCGTTCACCAATTTCTTTTCCTTCAGCTGCCTGTTTTGCCACCTTATCCACCATCATATTTCCAGTTTCCTGTACAGTGTCACTCTTCTGATGTCCTTTACAATGTATAACAGCCGTGATGTTCTTTGGTAGATTTACATCACCCTGAATTTGTTTTCCTTGTGTGTAAGCAATCCTCGCTCTTTCCAGATGACACCATGAGTGGGTACCACCCCAAAAGCATATTTAGCACCTGTCCATATATTTAGGGTTCTTGTCAAGGCATTTATTTCAGCCTTCTGAGTGGAAGTCCCCACAGGTAATGGTTTTGCTTCAATTAACTTGTCAGTAGCAGTTCCTGCATGTCCTGCCTTGCAGTTTCCTTGTCTTCACAAAACTGCTTCTGTCGATGAATCCAGGAATCCTCAGCATTGTCCAAGGTTCCTCCTGTAGGTCTGACCAACTGAGTACACACAGTCTCCATGCAGTCGCACACTGTTGGCTTGGAAGCAGCTCTGCTTTGGTGTTCTGGGTGTTCAGCAAATGGCTTCCTTCTCTTTGATCAGTTGTGCTTTCTGTTGAGAAACTTGATAGCCTTTTAAATCAAGAAATTCAGCAAGCTCACAGTCCATTGTACACAGTCCTTTGTTACTGTAGCATCCACGTACTTCAGTAAAGTTCCACTGTGAGATGGTGAACCCAAATCTCAGGCTCACGAGTTGACCAGTTCTCAAAAATCATTGGGCTGTTCTCACAACTCTGGGTAATACTGTGCAGGTTAATGGAATCATTATTATTATTATTTTTAATTATTATTTTTTTCTTCTCTCCATATTGGAGCTTTCCTATTCAAAGGCAAATAATTTTAGACTTTCTTTGGCAAAACCAGGCAGAAAAAGGCGCACTTCAAATCCAGAACGGTAAACCCCACCTACTTACTCCTTAACTTGGTTAATAAAGATATACACCATGGGTTGTATGTATTCAGCATTTTTATTAATTGCCCTTAAATCTTGGACCAAACTGTAGCTCTTGCCATCCAGTTTTTCATTTGCAAGATTGGGGTGTTGTATTTGAATTTTTATCCAATTAATAATCCAAAATCCAAAAAGTTATTTTTATTTCTTTTATCCTCCTACAGTGTTGTATCCTCAAAGGGCATTGCTTTACCCTGGTTGGGCTGGCTCCCATCTTTAACTTCACTTTCATTGGGCTGCACGTTTGGCTCTGCCAGGCATCGCTGATGCTTGCAGTTCTGTGTATACCCAATTTAGGATTCACGTAACTTCTGGGAGTACAACATTGCTTTTCCCAGTTTGTGTTAAAGCCAGACTTAAAATTTTCAGTCCATTGGTCTTGCTTGACAAGTAGCTCCAATTTTCTCTACTGGATTTGATCTCTACATTCAACTATTCTAACATGTCATGCCCAAATAACGGTTTTGGAGAACTTGGCATGTACAAGAATTTATATATTCCTACTTGTTCTCCTAGCCTGTATTTAATTGATCCAAAAAAAAAGAGTAAACTTCTCTTGCCAGTAGCTCCTACAACTATTACAAAAATCATCTACGGGTAGTAATTCTTGATGTGGCACAGATAAGAGGCACCCGTATCAGAAAATAAACCTCTTTACCCTGCTTCCCCAGCTGCTTTCGGTCCTATGGGGGTGGAACTCTGCCTGAGCCCTTCCAGGCTTCCCCTTATCTCTTCTTCTAGGTAAGGGACATCCCTGTTACACCTTGCTGCTCAACTTTCTCAGCTTGTTTCTCCCAAACCCTTCTCACTTTCCAAACTTTTTCCTAATATTATTATGGAGAGAATTTGGCAGAGCTGAAAGTGCACTTAAGATGGTTAGGGAAGAAAGTGCATTAGTGTTGCAGGCAGGAGTACTGTGCTGAACAGAAGGAAAGGCAAGTTACATACTGGTCTGTTTGCTAAGACATGCCATGCCTCACATAGCATGTGCTGGTTGGTAGAGTGGCTGGTGCTGTGTAACTGAAGATCACTGTCACTTTTTGACACATGGCAATAAGGAGTACCAACCAATTTTCTGCGTCTTGGAATGCAACAAAAGGAAGACAGACCATCTGATTTAATGACACTGTTCTCCAAAACTGCTCCACAATGGTGCTGACAATGTACTGTGATAAGGACAAGTTAATTTTGTGTGTAGTTTCTGACTGTTGGACAAAAAGCAAAGTTGAAAGTCTGTGAATACCTGTTATTGTTTCTCATTGGAAGCCAACAAGGTTCCACTAGCATTCATCTTATTTCTTATGCTATGAATACAAAGAATGAGAATCTTATACCGGAGCAGGATAACAAGAGACACACTAAATAGACATAATCATAATTCCAGAATGTGTACAAGCTGGATCTAGCTGAAATCTCAGACCTGCCACAGTCTTCACTGCAGAAAAATCTTCGTATTTACATTTGCACTGTTATGTCAGAATGAGTGTTGAATTCAGAAGACCATCTGTGCGCCGCAAAAATTAAAGGTTCTTTTTTAGCTTAATGGTTTACCCATCTATAGAAGCTACTAAATAGCCAGAAAATGGCAAAGTATGATGTATTTTAAAGAATTACTAATAAAATGTGTCCAGAGACTCATTTTTAGGTGGCTTCTAGAGTTACAGGTTAAAATTTCTTGTTTACATTTAATCATCAACACTGCTTTTCAATTTATATAATCTAGAAATGCAAGCTATAACCTAGGATTGTATGTTGGTGGGTTCATTTCCTGGTTTGCCTGTTTTTATCACCTCTGAGTGATTCCATAGTGCTTTCAAAACCTGACTCTTTGTGGCTGAGAAAGGAGCTGCTTTCTTGAGAGGCTTCTGCTTTTCATTACATCAAGCAAATATATTATTTCATTTTACATATGTCTGAAAAAACTCTCAACACAGGATGTTTTATGTCACAACAAGAGGACTTGGGTAAAAGGGTTTTCCCGAAGCTTCAACTGTCTGGATGATACTGAAGAACAGGGACAGACATTAGCGAGAAGCTAATTTGTGCACTTCGTTTTGAAAGCCTTGTTACTTAGCTGCTTTTTCTTATTTCTCTTTCTTCCAGAAATCTCCTCTATGTTTACCCCCAAAGGCTCAATTTTGCTAACCGACCAGCTTCTGCAAGAAACATTACCATCAAGATCCAGTTTATGTGTGGTGAAGACCCATCCTGTGCAATGCCGGTAATAAATGCTGACCACTTGTAGGAAAATGTTGCTCAGGTGCTGTCCTGAGGAACCTTTTGAAGAGACAGCTTACTGTTTGCTCCACATTGCCACAGTTTCTAGGGGGACCTTATGAGACTGACATCAGAAAGCTTGTGAAAGCCTGCAGGCATCAGCCCTGTAGTTCTAGCCCTGTAGGCATCAGCTTCAGCTTGCGTTTTTGGGGAAGTTTCCAGAGTATGTCAGTGGATTTTTGAGAATGAGATTGAGATAGCACCTTTTGTGATTTTAGTTGTGTTAAAAATAATGAATTGAAATGCTACTTTGAAGAACTTTACCCCAAGAATTTGTTGTCTTGAGGACTGACACCTGGCTGACCTTATTGAATGCGCTGACGCTGCACAGTGCGCACTTTACAGTGGCATGTTCCTTAGCCCAGATGCACTCTGGAACTGAAATCAGAGCATCAGCTCAATGTTTTCCCAGGTCATATTTTCTTCCAGAGCTGATGCTGTGCTATATGAATATAACACTTATGTTTTATGTAATGCTAAGTGGCTGTTTTGTTTATTTTACATTCTGCTCATATCACTGTTAGGTTTTGATGAATGCTTGGGGTAATGGCAGTTTGTCTGGCATCACTGTGCACTGTAAGTGTGGGTTTCACCTCAATACATACCGGTTTCTGCTGTGCAGATTCCCTTATCTCAATTCATCTCTCTGAGACCCTTTAAAGTTACAGCATTCCAGCACCCTTTCATGGAGGCTAAAGTGAGTCAAATTTTACTGAATGTAAAAGAGCTGTGGATCTTTAAGGTAAGGTGGGGTGAATCTCGCCCTATGTAAACAGGATAGAAGTGAAAAATCAACTTCTCAAAAAAATTTAATTCATCACTTAGAATGTAATTAAAACCAATATGATAATCCACAGGAGACTTATCACAACTGCATTCCTGAAGTTTCTAACTTTTCAATTACTGGAGAATGTAATGTAAGATGCCTCTGATCCATTTTCCTGGTGTTTTGTGTTGCATGCTGTGTGAGGAAGATGCCAACTAATAACACTTCTGCGTCATCGTGCTAAGATCAAATTGAAGGATCATTATCCACCCTTATATGCTGTATTAAAATTGACATAGAATGGTAACAATTAAATGTTTTAGATCTGACTGTATTCACTTTCATTTATTAATGCAGGTAATTTTTGGAAAATCTTCAGGTCCAGAATTTGTGCAAGAGATATATACAGCTATCACATATCATAACAAGTAAGCATTGTTGTTATTCTTATAAACTGAGATGTATTAAGCATGACATTTTTACGTAATTCTCAGCCAATATTAGTTACTCAAAGAATTATGGTAATAAGCTATTTTAAAATTCTACGTTTTCTGAGTATTTGTCAATATCTAATTTGGATTACTGCATGCATTTGCATAAGTGACTGCTGCTTTTCTTGTTTTGAGCTCTTTAAAGAGTAGTCAAGGGTATTCCCTGTCCGAAGATGAAGGAAGAGGAGCAGGAAGCATCAGCTTTGTAAAAGCATTCACCTTGATCTACAGATTCACAGCAAAAGAATTGAAGGGGCTCTCTCTTATGAATGCAAACTCAAGATACAGGTTTTATACAGTAACTATGCTGAAACCACAAACTTAAATTGAATGGTTTTAAAAGTAAGGAGGTGGATGATACTGAAATATTCTGGCTTATACACTTTGCATCAAGTTCTTCCTTATTCAAAACTGTAGATAGATCACAACTGTGTCCACAGAGATACGTATATTTCACTTGTATGACTTATCTCAAGGCTGTTTTTAGGATCTATACAGTTCTTATAACCATAGCATCTGGGAGCCTGCTGACAAATATGCCTTCTGCTCTGAAAAATGCATGGCATTTTTTTAAACAGGTGTCCTGACTTTTATGAAGAAGTGAAAATAAAACTGCCAGCAAAACTCACTGAGAAACACCATCTATTGTTCACGTTCTATCATATCAGCTGCCAGCCAAAGCAAGGAGCATCTGTGGAAACTCTCATTGGATATTCAGTAAGTGATACAAATGTGTGCATGTATGGGGCAGGGAGGGAAGAAGAGAGGCTAGATGTGTGGGTATGTATCCCATGCAGATAAACTCTTTGCTTATCAAGGATTTTGCCATGCATTCCCTTTCTGGTTATGGTAATACATCGTAACAAGGCTGTCCTGCAAATACTGCAGGGCGTGCTCATGCATGTTAAATGTACAGACACAGTAAATTCATATGCAGCTTGTGTTGTTACATCTTAGTGTCATGGTTTTGTGATTTTTTGGCTTTTGGTATTCCACATCATAACATCATGTGGGGCACTGGGACTTTAACTGTCAATGCTCAAGTCCTGGGTACCTGCCCTGAAGAGAAGAAGAACTACATTCCCCAGGGGACCTTGCGGTCAGGGAGAGGAGGTTTAACTCCTGCAAGGTCACCTGATGTGCTCTTTCTCGCCTGCTCTTCATTGTGGGCGCTGCTCCCGTCTCCCTGCTGCTCAACTGGACTGCGCATCTCACCTCAGCATTGTGGTGAGGCCTATCCACCTTTCGGACATTCTCTCATTATATTTGATTTATTAGCTTCAATTCTGATTATATTGTGTTATAGTGTGTTATCTTGCATTCCGATAATATACTTAGTAAATTAGTTTGTTTCTCCTCAGATCGGTGCCGCTGTTTTAATTATTTTGGGGTCCCCTGTTTCTTTTTTTCCGGAGGCGTGGATCTGTGGATCCCTCCGCCCCGCTCGTCACGGAACCGTGCCGAACCAGCCCGTAAACCGTTGACATTCTTGGTGGAGAATGCGGGCAAAGGCTGTTTTTTTGCTTTTTAGAACGAACCTCTCTCTGCTCTCGAAGAGGTTCGTTGGGAAAGTTTATCTTTTTCACCGGTGCTCACTGAAAACTTGACCTTGAAAGTCTAGGTGGACTGCCAGTGTTCTGGGATATTTGTAAACTTTGAGCACTGCTATCTTGCTCCCGTAAAGAGAGAAAAAAATGATTCCACTTTCTCTTTTAAACCTGTTTGCAGAGGGAGCTGCTAATTTCACAGAACTCGGGATTTTTAAACAGGTTCCCAGTCTCTCCCTTGAATTCTTTATGCAGTTTTTGAATGCTCACCTGATTGCACTGTTAATCTCCCTGAATTTACTGTTCATTATTTCAGTCAATTTTTGTATTTATTGTATTTTGAGGAAGCCTTCCCCAAAACCAGAGAATACTGAATGACAGGGAGTGTGGAGAGGCTTGGGAGAGATTTTAGAGAGATGGACATCTTCGGTGTCATGGAACTTTACTCCTGAACACCTGAAAGACCCTGAAATTTTAAGCATTTATTTGAGACAGGAATGTTGCGGCTCAGGCAGATCTGAGGAGGCACAAATGATTTGGGGCCTGGCTAGTGCTTATCGGGCCTTATTCAATAGTGTCCCAAAAAGGGAGAGAGTTTGTGAAAGTGAGAGAGAGTGTCTGAGAGCTGAGAGGGATATCCTCAAGTCCAAGAGAGATGCCCTCCGAATTGAGAGGGAGAGTCTCCAGGTCCAGAGAGAGAGTCTCCTAGTTGAGAAACAGAGTCTCCAAACGCAAAGAGAAAGTCTCCAAGCCGAAGGGGAGAATCTCCGAGCTGAGAGAAGGAATCTCCAATCTCAACGAGATGCCTTCGAATCCGAGCGAAACTCTCTCCAATCCAAACTCGACACCCTCCAAACTGAGCGAGACATCCTCCAATCTGAACTAACTACTCTCATGGTCGAACAAGACAGACTCCAAGCAGAGCTAGAGGGTGAGAGCATCAGAACTGACCAACCTGATCAACCACAGGAGGCACCACAATTGATGTCAGTCGTCCCTGTAAGAGGACAGAAAACGAAATGAATCTCGACTCAGTTAGAACAGAAGAAAGAGGAGGAAAGAGATCCAGAGGATTGGCTCCGAGGTCTAAGAGAAGCACCCCTGAGTCCAGAGGGGGGGCCCTCAGTAAGAACACGGTCACCAACACCTACGAGGACAACAAGAAGTCCTGAAAGAGGAAGAGGTGAGCAAGATATTGTTACCCTTGTTGATTGATCTCTGAAAATGAATGAAATTCGAAGTCTGAGAAAAGACTTCTCACGTCACCCAAATGAGCCTATTGTTACTTGGTTACTTCGATGTTGGGACAATGGGGCCAACAGTGTGTGGCTAGATAGTAGAGAAGCTCGCCAATTGGGTGGCATTGCTAGGGACTCAGCCATTGACAGAGGCACTGGTACATGCCAGAACCAGGCTTTCACTCTCTGGAAGCGGATGTTGTTAGCTGTAAAAGAAAGATACCCCTTCAAAGACGATCTGATGCCTGAGAAAAAGAAATAGACTGATATAGAAAAAGGCATCCATTATTTGAGAGAATATGCTGTGGTGGAAATGGTACATAGCCCTGATTTCTTTCCTGATGATCCAGACCAAGAGCATGATCCTGAGAGAGTCAGGTGTACACCAAACATGTGGCGTACATTCACAAAGACTGCACCAGAAAAGTATGCCAGTATATTTGCAGCTATGTATGGCAGAGGGGAAAGAAGACCCCTTATAAATGAACTGATTAATAAACTTCAAGACTTTGAGTTACATTTAAGCCCTCTACGAGTTTGTATTTCAGCCATTGCAAAGGTAGCTGAAAAGCTGAACAGAATGGAGAGCAAGCAAGAAGATACAGACAAACTGTCTACCGTGCCTAATGCTGATGGATCCATGGTGGTAACAGATACATCCAATGGAGATCAGAATTCCCAAGACAGCCTACTGGAGGGACTGATCAACTTGGTTTACTCCCAGCCGGTGTCATCCAACGTCTCAGCTATCAAAAGGAGACATCCTCCTGCTCGAGCAAGTGACAACAGTAAGACTACATCACGTTTTGCCTTGTGGCATTAACTACGTGACCATGGAGAAGATATGAAGAAGTGGCATAAGCAACCTACTCCTGCACTTCAAGCACGGGTAAAAGAATTACAAGGCAAATCAACCACCAAGGTGAACTTCTCCAGAAAGGTGATTGCTCCAGTTGCTGCAGACAACAGAGGTAACAAATAGAGGGGCCCTTCCCCCAGCCAGGGGGGGAAAGGGATAATAGAGTGTATTGGACTGTGTGGATTAGATGGCCTGGCACATCAGAACCATAGAAATATAAGGCCCTGGTGGACACTGGTGCACAGTGCACCCTAATGCCCTCGAGTCACCAAGGGACAAAATCAGTTTATATTCATGGGGTGACTGGGGGTTCCCAAGAGCTGACTATGTTGGAGGCTGAAATCAGCCTCACTGGTAAAGACTGGCAAAAGCACCCTATTGTGACTGGCCCAGGGGCTCCATGTATACTTGGTATTGATTACCTCAGAAGGGGATATTTTAAGGATCCCAAAGGGTATCGATGGGCCTTTGGAATATCTGCTGCAGACACAGAAGGTGTTAAGCAGTTGTCTGTTTTGCCTGGCCTATCAGAAGATCCATCTGTTGTGGGGTTGCTAGGAGTGGAAGAGCAACAGGTACCAGTTGCTACAAAAACGGTGCACAGGCAGCAGTACCGCACCAACAGGGATTCTTTGCTCCCCATTCATAAGTTAATTCGTCAACTAGAGAGCCAGGGAGTGATCAGCAAAACACACTCACCTTTTAACAGCCCCATATGGCCAGTGCGTAAAGCCAGTGGAGAATGGAGGCTGACGGTGGATTCATTGGCCTGAATGAAGTCACACCCCCACTGAGTGCTGCTGTGCCAGTTATGTTGGAACTCCAATATGAACTGGAGTCAAAAGCAACCAAATGGTATGCCACCATTGACATTGCTAATGCCTTTTTTTCCATTCCTTTGGCCAAAGAATCTAGGCCACAGTTTGCTTTCACCTGGAGGGGCATTCAGTATACCTGGAACCGTTTGCCCCAGGGGTGGAAACACAGCCCGACCATTTGCCATGGGTTGATCCAAGCCGCACTGGAACAGGGAGGTGCTCCTGAGCACTTACAGTACATTGATGACATCACTGTGTGGGGCAACACAGCAAAGGAAGTTTTTGAGAAAGGAGAGCAAATAATCCAAATCCTTCTCCATGCTGGTTTTGCTATTAAGCAAAGCAAAGTGAAAAGACCTGCCCAGGAAATTCAGTTCCTAGGCATAAAGTGGCAAGATGGCCGTCGTCACATCCCGACAGATGTGATTGACAAAATCACTGCTATGTCTCCGCCCACTAATAAGGAAGAGACACAGTTGTTTCTGGGCGTAGTGGGCTTTTGGAGAATGCTTGTTCCAAACTACAGCCTCATTGTAAGCCCCCTATGACGCGAATGAAGAATGAGTTTACATGGGGTCCTTAGCAGCGGCAGGCTTTTGAGCAGATTAAGCAAGAGATAGCCCGTGCTGTGGCCCTAGGGCCAGTATGGATGGGACAGGATGTGAAGAACATCCTCTATACTGCTGCCGGAGAGAACGGTCCCACTTGGAGTTTGTGGCAAAGAGCCTCAGGAGAGACCCGAGGCCGACCCCTGGGATTCTGGAGTCGGGCGTACAGAGGGTCTGAAGAGTGCTACACTCCAACTGAAAAGGAGATCTTAGCTGCATATGACGGGGTTCGGGCTGCTTCCGAAGTAGTCGGTACTTCTGGCACCTCGACTGCCAGTGCTGAACTGGATGTTTAAAGGAAAGATTCCCTCCACCCATCATGCTACTGATGCCACTTGGAGTAAGTGGATTGCGTTGATTACGCAGCGAGCGCGGATGGGAACCTCAGCCATCCAGGAATCCTAGAGGTGATCATGGACTGGCCTGACGGTAAAAAGTTTGGAACATCACCAGCAGAAGAAGTATCACGTGCTAAAGAAGCCCCACCATACAATGAACTACCAGAAAATGAAAAGAAATATGCCCTGTTCACAGATGGATCGTGTCGTATTGTGGGAAAGCATCGCAGATGGAAATCTGCTGTGTGGAGCCCCACACGACAAGTTGCAGAGGCCACTGAAGGGAAAGGAGAATCAAGCCAATTTGCAGAGGTGAAGGCTGTCCTGCTGGCCTTAGATGTTGCTGAGCGGGAGAGGTGGCCAATGCTCTATCTTTACACCGACTCACTTAGTTTTGTAATTTTACATTGGTAAGCATCTTTGAAGTTGGTGAATTTACCCAAAGCACAGAAATTAAGTATACACCTACATATTTGCAACAACAATGCCTTATTGTAGAGCTCTTAATTGTTAGATTTTATCTGCTGAAAAGAAAAAAGGTAATTAACTGTTATTTACTGTTATCTAACACTTTCATACATGAGGTGACATCCAATATAATATTTAGAATTAAGCTTTTTATGGTATATTGCTTACATAAAAACTGTTGTTTACCCTTTTTAAAATCAAAAGCCATGAAAATATCTAGATACTAGAATTCAGTTATTTAAACTCATTTATCTTCATGTTGAAACTAGCATGTTCTAGCATGAGAAACATGTATTGTAGCATAGCATCATTTTTCTTTAAATATTTTTATCTGGAGAGATTTTAGAATAAGAAGAAAGCACAGATGATAATAATACTTAAGATGTGAAAAAGTTCTAGTGCTACTGAACCATGGAACCGTACAAATACTATCCATGTGTTCATGCTATGAGGTTTGTATGCTTTTGATTCCAGTACTGTTAGTCCTCTCAAGCAGGCTTTCTTTTGTAGATAGATGCCACAAATGCCTACTCATCTAAACATGATGTGTATCTGTCCTGTGCTACTCCACAGCCTCTTTCAGACCTAAACAGGAGCAAAGTATGTCCAGATGTCATCGCAGAGTTCTGATGGCCTTAATCCTCAGGGTGGCAGTGACCAAAATGTTCAATTTGTCCATAGCAAAACTTGAACTCTTCAAGTTCAAAACTTGAGCTTGATTCACCTCACGAAACTATAGAATGACTTGGGTTGGAAGAAATCTTAAAGATCACCCAGTTCCAGCCTCCTCCTACCATTGATTGCTAACTCCAGATCAGGCTTCTCAGTGCCTCATCCAGCCTGGCCTTGAACACCTCTAGGGGTGGGATTAAAAAAAAAAAAGCCAAATACCAATCTATTCAGGTTAAGTTATTTTTCAAATAAAAGCATGGGACCTGTTAAATCCTTCTGATAGGATTTATTAGAAAAACATGTGTCACACATGAAAAGCTCTCTGTTTTCAGAAGAGTTTGTTTGTAAAGCAGTCTTGTACATTTTTCTACAGTAGCTATCAGTGAATTTAAAATGCAAACAAATTACTGTTTAATGGATTGGAGCAGAGAAAATCAGGTCAATATCTCATTTCTTGTTCTGTTGACTATACATAACAGATTAGATAAATAGCTCTAATCATATATAGTCATGAATATTGCTGCATTTTCTCTTCATTTGTTTCAGTGGCTGCCAATTCTGTTAAATGATCGTCTTCAAACAGGACATTATTGTCTTCCTGTTGCATTGGATAAGCTGCCATTCCACTATTCAATTCACTCTCCTGAGGTAACAAAGAAAATTATGAAAAGACAATGTTTTTGCAGCATAGAACATCATGAGTATTTTACAATCCAGCGTAGCTGTCTGTTTTGGGGCAGTTGCCCCTTTCTGTGCTTTAAAAGGGTAAAGCTCTAGAGAAAAGTGTTGTTATTACTTTAATTGGTGCTATTATGTTTTGTTAAATTGTGTCTTTTAAAGTTACTAATTCAGAAATCCTTGTGAATTGTCTAACCAGTGATACGTTTGTTTAGATTTTGTCAGGTTCATAATTTGCTTTCTTTCACAAGATGAGTTGCTTGTTTTTTGTGGCAGTGTGAGAGAGGGAGGATACATGGATTCAGGTGCTGCTACTAGAGCAGGAGGCTGCCCCCTGAGCTGATATGGCGAGTAGAAAACTGCCTCTGTCTTTGAAACTGTACCATGTCACCAAGGAGTGCCCTTGGCATGCATTGGCTGTGAACTTCTAACCACAGAAGATGCAAATTCACACTGTCTGTTCTGGGCATCCAGCTGAAGTGCTCCAAATTTCCCTCTTTAAGGAATGAAATTCTCTTCATCTGGCTTATGAGAATAAATACACCTAGCTATATGGTCCTCTGTGCTGCACTGAATTAGATGCCTCAAGTAAAGTGAACAGCCTTAAGATATTTGAGACCCATGTAAACAGGCTTTCTGTTATATCATTAAAAGACAGTGATTCCTGCAATTCTCTTCTATCACAGAAAGTTCCATCACAGACACCACCTATCAAATGGGTTGAAGGACACAAAGGTGTTTTCAATATTGAAGTGCAAGCTGTTTCATCTGTTCATACCCAGGTAATGCACGAAAAGCAACATGCAACTGTGGTTTCATTTCAAAGGGGATTCATATGCCCATTCTGACCGAGGAAATTTGTGAACTGGAGATGTTAAAGCCCCCACAGGTTTGAAAACAAATGAAAAGTTCCTGCTGTCTTACAGCTGTAGAAAGAACTTGATTATTTTCAGTGAATGAAATCCACTGATGTGAGTGCACAAATAAGCACTCTGAGCAGCAAATCAAATCAAACAATAAGGAGCCTGGTTTCCTCTCAGCTCAACAGAGATCTGATATGAAGAACACTGCTAGGGCGCAGTGCCAGTTTCTGCAGTGTGTGTGTTCTGTTCTCTGAGGCTGGTTCAAACAATGTGTCCAACTGCTGAAGGAAAGCACAGCATCTCCCCTCCCTTCAGGGCCAGCTAGGCTGCCAAAACACTCCACATGGATGGCACCTCAGCTGCTACAGGTAGTGATGCTAACTTAATACTGAATGGAAACTTTGAGATCTAAGATTCTGATAACTTAAATGTGGTAGAAAGTTGAAGGCTTTCCACTTTTACTGGGGTCTGAAGCACCACAGCTTTATTTTGTTCCACTGTATTTCACATTGTCTCCTACATCATCTTGTTCTGGTTAACTCTGATAGCATACTTTTTACATACAAATAGGACATATTCATAAGACACATAACTTGCATGTATCTGGAAGTGAGACTCTTAGATGCAGGTGGCATATAGGGACAATAGAATCACAGAATTGCTCAGGTTGGAAAATACCTTAGTAAGTATAATAATAAAAAGACTATAGACCTCTGATGTGAGGTCTAGACCTCAGAGTTTTATCAGAAAGAATAAACAATATAATTTACTGCAGACTTCACCTTTTCTGCTTTTAATCTGATTTAACCACAGTCTGAATCTGAGCCAGCTGAAAAGGAACAAACAGAACATTGTGGCAACTGACTTAGAAGTTGGTCTCTAGAGCTATCTGCCTCTGTAAGCCAGGAGCATATAAGTATTTTCTCTCCCCATCAGATGGGAATCAAGCTTTGCTTATCAAGTAGCAGGCTGAATCATATCAGCTTTGTTAACTGTGAGTGCACCATATCTGCAGGACAATCACTTGGAGAAGTTCTTCACTCTGTGCCATTCTCTGGAAAGTCAAGCGACCTTTCCCATTCGACTAATGGACCAGAAGATCACTGAAGCTACACTGGAACACGAACTGAAACTCAGCATTATCTGTTTGAATTCTTCACGACTGGAACCTCTTGTTCTATTTTTACATCTGGTACTGGATAAACTTTTCCAGCTGGCTGTACAGCCTATGGTCATAGCTGGCCAGACAGGTATCTAATGATCCTTTGCTTATTTTCCTTGGTACCACAAGCAAACTAGAGATGTGGAAAAGTTTGCTGGATGTCCAGGGTCATATTTACTCTTTGGGTAGTACAGAAGTAGCTGGGCTTCTCTGGACACAGCTTCATTGCACAGTTTAATCAGATTTGATGAAATTGTTTGTGCTTCTCTTCCCTGCACAAATAAAGCCCTGAGACTCCCTTTCAGAAGTGCTTTAAATCTTAATAGTTACTTATCTGGAGATACAAGTCAGAAGCAGGATGGTGGTTTAACTGCTTTGTGAGGAAAGCAGCAGCTAAATAACAGCTAATACTGATGATGGCATTTCATCTTCCCAAATATCTTTAGCCAGAATTGGGTGGACAAAAACAGGATGTAGTCATGCACAATGGTGTTTTCCTGCTACTTAAGCTGTCAACTGCCCATTATCTATGTTAAATGTGGAAGAAAGGCACACTTGAAGACAGTGGTGCAGCTGATTTCCTAATTAATTTTGGTAGCCAATATTTGTCATCCACTAAAATATTAGAAGAAGAGCATGGTAGCTTGTATGTTTCTGTCAGCTGGAGAAGAATCGACATTATTGCCCTTTAAATATATATTCTATATATTCTATATATTCTATATATTCTATATAAATTGTATTTTTATATAAATATATATGTAATTATATATCATATATAAATTATATATTTTTATATATATATTATATAAAAATACATTTTATATATGTTTTTAGGAAGTACCTGAAGGCTGCTAGAAATTGTCATGAACAGTAAGGGTCTGCTCTTACATAGCACCATGTGTGAAATAGTAGTGGTTGGGTTGAAAGTGAGTCTACTGAAAATAGGTTTTTGGTTTATGTAGACTTAGTGCCTGGCCCAGTGTAACTGTTGCTTTCTGCAGCTATTAATCTGTTAAGGAGTGATTTAAAGCATGTACAAATTAGTTACTGTTAAAAGGAATGCCATGATCTAATTATGTTATTTCCTTCAGGGCTGAGACTAATTTTTGCCTTTTGTTTCACAGCCAACTTTTCACAGTTTGCCTTTGAATCTGTGGTTGCAATAGTGAACAGTCTCCATAACAGCAAAGACTTGAGCAAAGATCAGCATGGGAGGAACTGCCTCCTGGCATCATATGTCTACTATGTGTTTCGCCTGCCAGACCCCCAAAAGGAAGTGCCAAAACTAGGTAATATCATTGCAGTAATTGCAAAAAAAATCTTTTCTCTTTATACACACTACTCATCATGGTGCTTCTGAGTCATAGACAACTGGCCTTCAAAAGAGCAAATCAGAACTTCTTGTATACAGACTGCATAGTTTTCAAACGTAGCACTGCTTCAGCACATGAATCTTGTCTTAATCTACAGCAGACTGAAAAGAGTTGATAGGGGAAGAAAGAGCTACTGCAGCAGTGCTACTGTTGGGAAAGCCCTCAGTCTTGCACTACTGCAAGCATTGTCAGCTTGTCTGCTGCAGAATCCCAAAACATCTGTACCTTGTTATTCATTGCCTGTGTAATTTAACAGAGCAGCTGGCGATGAGATTCTTGTAAGCTCCTTGCTTTTCATGCTGCTGATGCTGTGCAGCACTGAGCAGAGCCGGCTCGAATCTCATGCTTCTCTCATATTACTATGTCCTTCAGTCTTAGTTCAAACATCTCCCCGTGGGCAGGTGCAGGGGGCAGTGCTGCTCTGACGGAGTCTCGTTATTACACATTTGGGCGCACTTCTGCAATGTCCGTCGGGAGTAAACTCCTGCAGAGCCGAGTGATAAGCTGCAGCAATCCTGACATCACGGTTACACAGTCAGCTGCTGATGAAGAGGTCAAAAACATCATGTCGTCCAAGGTAAGAGGGGGAAGTCAAGTATCTGAGATGTGTATGAGCCAAAACCAGGTCTAGGAAGCCAAGTTTTTTCTTTGAAGGCTGGACTTGCTTCTTGTGAACACAGTGTATGTATCACCAGAAACATTCACTCTGTCTAATTTGGCATGTACAAGTTACATTCTCTTTGCTAAATTCTGATGTATTTTTCAGTGAAGAAAATAAGAGGTAACATCTCTGACTGAGTTTCAGGTTTAGGCACTCCAGGAAGGATTTCCTTATTCAAGGTGCCCCAGTCTCCTGTTCATCCTGAGACCTAAGTTCTTTTTGCATTATTTCCTAAAGCATTCAGAGGGAGCTGATCTAGCTGTCACAGAATCAGTATCAAAAAAGATTGCCACTGTCTACAGTGGGAATAGGCTTGCTTTCTAAAAAGGGTGAAGAATTCTCGGGAAGGAAATAGATTTTCTAAAATACATTGATAATGTATTCTGGTTCCTTCTCATTCTTTTTATTGCTATTTTTTACTCACAGAGCCTGCTTAATGGTAAATTACTTCCAACTTTAAAAAAATAACGATTAGGCAACATACATAACAGCAATCCTGTGATGTGATACTGTCTATAGTACAGATGCTGTGAAGATTCTGTATAAAAGTCTTTCCAGATAATAAACTCAGCCACAGAGTGAAACACAAACTTCCTCTTTGTTATCCAGAACACATTTGTCACCAACAAATTGCAGATAGGACGGGAGGAACAAAGAAGCAGAATTTTGTTTCCTGCTGGGGCATCAAGTACTTGCTGGTATGCATCACCCTGAGTTCTTCTGAGAGCTTTTTGGGGATGGCTATGTTCAACTCACTGAGGGAAACAAAACCTTAGCAGGAGCAAAATCAGCAGGAACCTCTCACAGATGCAGGATTTTACCCCTGTGCAAGGAGGCTGCTCTGAGCTGCAACCCAGACAGATCTCATCAGCATCTCAGAACCATGTGTTCTTTCATTTTCTGTGTTATGTACATGGAATACTGCTTCTCAAGCAAGTTATTTGCAGAAACATTTTGAGGTTTTGGTTTTTTTTTTCCGCCATTGAATTATCAGATGGTTTAATTTCCTAAATTAAACCAGAGCTAGTAAGGTGCACAGAATTTGCCAGTCTGTTTCATTTCTTTGTATACATATTCACCCATAGCAATCTTTAATAATGTAGATTTGAACTTAGTATCTTCGTGAATTTCTGGTATGGTGTGTCCTAAGAAAATGAAAAAAGAAAAAACAGAAAATATCTCAGGGTGGGTTTCTGTTTGTTTGTTTTGTTTTGTTTTTTTCAAATTAATACGTAATTAGAACATTTGGTACTACAGCTTTATCACACTGATAAATTAAAAATGTATAATGCTTAGGCAACTACTGACATTTCACTGTCTTTTAATTAGTATCACTTTTAATGAAATAATTGCAGATACAAGTTAATTTAGGACATAGAACTACCTAATAAACCCTAATGACTGTTACCTTGAAAGGGTGAATTTTAGTTTCCAAAACACAGCTGTGGTGCTAAAATCGGGCACACGATGGCAGCGTTGGCATTTGTGGTCTCCTGCATCTGCCAAATTCAGGTGGTCTTTGGCCTCCTCTGGGGAAGGGAATTGAAGGGGAGAGGAGGGGAGAGAAAGACACATTAAAAATGTTTGGGTGATGTATAATCAGTGAATGTATAGATGTTATAATTAAGGGATATACCAGAGTTTGGCTAAGCAGGTTATTATACAAAAGAGAACAAATAGAAAGCTTATCCATGACCTGAGCTTGCTGTAAAACTCCAAAGGAGGGATCCCCAGAAAGAGATGCTTCCCTAGTGGTAGCCAGCTCTTAAATGGGTCTAGGAGAGGTACAGCCAGGCTCCAGCCCTTCCAGCAGCACAGGCGAATTGCCTTCACCTGTGCCCCTGTGGCTGACTCAGTGCTCCCTCGGGTGATCAATCAGAGGTTCAGGCCATGACTCAGTAGTTCCCATACAGGTGAACATCTGTATTTACCTTCCAAGAACACGCTGATTTGATTTTTAATCTGTTAATTAGCTTAGGCAATGCATTAATGTGTGTGTGTATTTCTTCTGGCCATTCTCCAGCCTGCAGATCACAGCTCCAGTCGGATGTCGTTTTACATTGAAGGAACAAATGACACGCCAGGTGTATGTGCAAACCCAAGACCATCCAGTAAAAAGGTAGCCTACTACTGAGTGTGAGAGTGATAGACTAACAGAACCTGTAGCCTCCATGAGCCGTGCTTGTAATTAGCATGAAATGAGGAGAGGGAGAACAAAATAACAACCAGTTTTATTGAACAGGGAGTTTGTGATGGAATGTTAAATCTATGGATCAATATTGCCCAAACATTTCTGACTCTGCTCTGAAATGTTTAGATTCTTTTTCTGGGGCAGATTTAGACAAGTAGCAGCCTGCCTGTATCCTTCCTTTGCTCTCTTTCTCGGGGTACTAAGACCTCTATGTTTTTTTCAGTGCTGTTTCGCTGTGGATGCCTGCCTTTACATGTTGCAGTAAATTGCATTCAGATATATTTACCATTTCTTTCTTCTGTATGAAATATTTTACTTTCCCCTTTTTTGTAGCATGTAGAATCAATTAATTCCTCTTTATTCTGAGTCTGTATTCCCAAACAGCTTTTTAACAATGTAAAACATATCATAGCAGATAGTTAACTCCTTCAGAGCTGTATCTTGTGCTTGGCATTGAGGAGGCTTTAGGTAAAGAAATGGGAGAGAAAATCTACGGTGGGCAGTATAGAATCCATGTTGCAGTTGAGAGGCACTTCTTTCTTATTTCTGTTTATTGATTTGAGTTAGGCCAAAAAACATAAGGGTTTATACCCAATCTAAATCTTGGCTAGATTTGTGTGTCCTATTGAATTTGAATAGGCTTAGAGATTTCACTGGCTTTATTGTTTCTATCAGGAACAGAGAATAGATATTACAATATGTGGTTAGTCCAGATTTGAGTTTTCTCCAAGTTTAGGTCACTGGGACTAGGAGTCTTGTGGTTGCACATCACTGCAAAGAGTATAGTCTCTAACTACACACTTCTTGCAAACTCCACTGTGATTGTTGCTGTGGCCTTCTCTCCCACCACAGAAATAATCCTGTGTGTTCTCTCAAAAACACAAATGTGCTAAGCAGAAGCTCTCAGGAGGAGCATGTGTCTGTTCACTGTCAGGCATACAGCCAATAATCTGAGGATAGACCAATGGCATTTTCCAGCTTAGGTGTTCAGGGTTCTGGATCCACAGCAGAATGAGTCTTAAAGCCCATAGTGCTATTCCTTATGTGTCATTTTTGTCAGATCCACTTTTTTCCTACAAGGTGTTCCTGTCTAGCTGTTCACTCTCCATTATGGGGGCTGTCAAAGATGCAGGTGCTGGGAATTGGTTGAAAATGAAAGATGTGTTGGGTGAAAGACTATTTCTGAACACTCTGTGTTTATTATTTAGCATTTCCATGAGGAGCTGGCACTGCAGATGGTGGTCAGCACGGGTATGGTGAGAGAGGCTGTCTTCAAATATGCCTGGTTCTTCTTTGAGCTCCTGGTAAGATTTATCAGTGATGTTTTGTGGCAAGTTGATGGTGAAATGCAAACACAGATTTTGTTGGACTATAATGTCTTCAGCTAACTAACCCCACTGTGATAGGTTCCAGATAATGGAAGCAAAACCGAAAGATTCTGTATATTCACCCCCATTTCTTACTGAGAGCCTGTGACAGTTAAATCCTGCATCAGCTATCTGCACAGTGGTCCATAGCTTGCAGAAGTCTGGGTGACAGATGTCAAAGTGAGCTGTTCCCTCCTTTTCAGCTCCTATTTCTTCCCCTTTGTTAATAACATGTGCAGTAGCAAGGCTACCCAAGGTCAGTGTCACAGAGCCCTGAGGTGACTGATGTCACTGCAAGTTTTGTTGACGTACTGGTTTCCACTGGAAGCAGATACGCAACACAGGAGATCAAGGAGTAGGAATTAATTCCAGAAATGTCCTTCCCTGAACGTCATCAGAAAGAACAGAAGGTACAAGCAGCAAGGATGGGGTGAGGGTGAACTGAGCCACAATATGAACATGACAGAACTACCTGTGTTCAAGCCCTAGGCTCTCTGGTGCCTTTGACAAAAAAGGTAGGATTTATCAAGGGACTCTAAGAAAGGTGAGAGTGACTGTGTTGGGGGAAAAACAGGTGGGAACTCTTACTCCATGGACTAACATAGAGAAGAGTTTTATCTCCATTTTGTTATATTTTTCTCTTTTTTCTTTATTGCTTTGCAGATAAAGAGCATGGCTCAGTATGTTCACAGTATAGAGAAGCAAGACGTACGAAGAAGCCGGTTCTCTGACCGTTTCAAAGATGATATTACCGCTATAGTTAACGTGGTTACTTCTGAGATTGCTGCACTTCTAGTCAAACCCCAGAAGGTAAAAGCACGAAAAAAAAGCACTGTGGATTCTCACTGTTCACACCACATCACACTGAGCTTTATTTAATTACATTGTACTTTCAGGACCATCACTGGAATTAGGCTGAAACTGACGCTATAATGTTGCAGAGATCATAAGTGAGAGCTGTAAGGGATAGTCCTGTGCCTTCTTAGCAGAGAGTTTGTTTTTATTCAGAGGAAGGCACGTGTGAGAGGGAATTACCTTTCTCTGAGATAGGAAAGACTGAACTCTGTCTTTCAGTCGCTGTGCTGTGTGCTGCCTTATGTCAGATTGGCTAGGGCATCAGGCTGCACCCATGTGTAGCATATTCCTTTAATCTCCTTCTCCTATTACACTCACTCCTACTGCACAGCATTTTTCCCTACGTTTGACTTCCATGACTGCAAAGTCAGTGTTCTTCCTGCAAAACCCAACCATGAGATACTTAACCCCAGATCGCTCTGAAGACACACTGGCCACATGAAACTCAAAGACAAGAGATAAACACTAAACCGTATGTAGTTCTTTCTCCTAGCATATTTTAACAAGTTTCATTGGCATAATTGATTATAAAGCTGAAAATGTTATGAAATGTAATTTATATTTCAACATCAGTTAACTGATGTCACTTTTGCTATTCCCCAGAACATAAAATAAAGGCAGTTTATGTGTCTGCACCTATGTGCTGTTGCAGCCAGCATTATTTTCATACCCCAGGGCTGCCAGAGGCACTGCACATGCGGGGCAGTGTGTTCTATCATAGGGTAGCTGGGCTGGAGAGCTGACCTGCCCAATCACTGCTCAGTCAGCATGGCTCTTAGTCCAGTTCTCCACCTGTGGCTAGGTGTTGTGTCAGAAAACTGAAACTGTTGAAGAGCCACAACCAGACAACTGAGGACAAGAAATGGCAGAAGTCACCATTACTGTCAACCAAAAAGTTGTTTCTAAAGCTTCATCCTTTTCTTCATCGTTTGATGAAGAAAAGATGCTTCTGTGATGTCTACATGCACAGAAAACATTTCCATAGAAATTTTCACATGAGTGAATATATTGTGTGAAAAAAATGTGCTACATTAAAAATGTTTTAACAGATCTGTAGGTTTTGCTAAGAGATTAATATTTTATGCTTTCTTCATGAGAAACGTACAGGTTTTTATGGGCTGTTAATTCAATTCAGTTTTGATGGAGTGAGTAGGTAGAGTCTAACTATGTGTGAAAATTCTGCTGCAATGTTTTCAGAATTAAGGTCATTGACTAGTTGTACAGAACAGCAGGATGTGACACCTGTCTACGTTTTAAATCCACAAAGTAATATTCTGTATGTTTCAATACATGGTTGATCATGTAACATTGTCCTGAGGTTCTGCAGCTACTGGCCTACTGTAGACTACTCTGTAAGCTGGTGGAAAGCTGGTTGTTTTTTTTTTTTTCAGCACAGCAGAAAATTACTTTGCTATGTAAATTCTAGATCATAGATTTTATATGGATTCTATATTCTGTACGTGTATAAATATATTCTTGAATGGCTATAGCAACAAAAAGGTTGAAGAATCAAAAATGAAGTCATAAATACCCTGAGGTGCTGCACACCTGCTCTCACTTGCCAGAGACACCGATAGCATTTTTATCAATCATCTCCCTTGTCTGTCTTGAGCGAACTCACCTGACAGCACTGAGGGGTGTGCAGACCCCTCAGGCACATCCACAAATTCTTCTTGGTCAAGGACATGATATTGTCAAGCTGTTATAGTTTGATTTGGTATGTCTGAAATAGCCTTCTTTTAGAGGATACTTGGAGTTCTTTGTGTGTCTCTAGTAATCAGACCGTTTGTAAATACAAAGGAGTTGAGTTGCCCACAGATTTGTCATACTGATATTTTTATCTGATATTATGAAATTTGTAAATGAAACAGTTGGCATTCCATCAGTAGAGCTACGGCAGATTTTTAATAATATTAAATCTAATCTAAGACTAATATCTGAAGACAGTATTTTATGTTGAACACCTAAACAATTTTCAATAGTGTTAGAAGTGGAGGGCAGGGGAGAGGGGCACATAAAAGTTTGGAGCCCACAGGAAGTTCAGAAAAGCTCTCAAATTTGATTTCAGTTGTTATCTGCACAAAGATTTGCAAAGATAAGCTTGGTCATTCTCCTGTTCCATTTCTTTCATTCTCCTGTTCCATTTCTTCTCCAAAAGCAGTGACTGTTGAAATAATACACATAATTTTAACAAGGTCATGTAAATTAGAGAAGTTAAACAGTCTTGTCCTCTCTGTTCCACATTTCTGGAAACTGTCCCCTACACTATTTTTTTGTTCTAATTGATACTAAGAAGTTCTTCACTTTAATGTGAGTTTTATAAATTGTAAGTGCAATTTTACCCCCCTCCCCGTTTTTATTGATTTATTTGTTTGTTTGTTTTAAGGAAAGTGAACAAGCAGAAAAAATTAACATCAGCCTGGCATTTTTCCTGTATGATCTTCTTTCTTTAATGGACCGAGGATTTGTGTTTAATCTCATCAAACATTACTGTAATCAGGTAGGCATTATGCATGATTGGGATTGTATTGGGCTTATGGCCAGTCTTGTATTCTGTTCTCTTTGATTCATTTATCCATCAAGATCCTCTGAGTTGTATTAAAGAGTAAGGTAAATAGCTTATTTCCTTCTGCATATACAGAGACTTTACACCTCTTTTGGTCTGTGGTCTGCAGAAAATAATTTGAGTGGAGGTTAGGGTTTTTTTACAAATGCCATACCTTACACTGCACTGCAGAGCATCCGTAGAGACACTTTTCTTGCCTTTCTTTTTTATGTCTCTTAGCATCAGTCTTTGGATCCTCAAAGTCTGCACATCACAGATTAAAGAGCTTTTGCACTCTCACAAAATACTGCTGTTATAGGCAGCATTTAGATTTGGGGTGTTTGATCAAAATGATCCACCTTCGTCTTACTACTTTACAAGCCTCCAAAAATTAAAAATAAATTATGTTTGCGAGGCTGTAGCATGAAATAATTGTTGTATTCAAGATGGAAAGCTTTCCTTTTTTCTTGTGAGCCAATATACCTGTTGTGGCTTTTCATTGAAAACAAGCAAAGCTGTCACCTAATGGTACATAGGAGAATTCGAAGGTATCTGCTACCATCATTTCCTATAGTATGTGCAAAACCCTATTAATGTTAATGTCAGTGTTACTGTGAAGGGAGATCAGAAGACTACTTGTTCTGTGTTCACTAACCTGACTTTCAGTGAATTTGTCGCAGACTCAGCAAAGTTTTGTTTGTTTATAATCCCAGTGTTATGCAATATTATTGTATTGTATTGATTCTTTCTTGGGAAGCTGGCAAGTGAGCCATAGAGGAGAAAAGACACTACCACTGCCAAACAAAGAGCAATCAGTGGATGGAAAACAGCTAGGTACAGGGAACCATGGAGCATTTTAAGGCATGCTCGGATATTTGGCTATATTTTTTAAATTGACTGATTCTATTTCAGGAAACAGGATGCAGGATATTTCGCTGCATGATAATTTAAATAGCAAATACCAGTAACAAGGCACTTTCATTTGTTTCTCTAGCTCTCAAACAAGCTGAATTCTCTTTCCACCCTGATTTCCATGAGACTGGAGTTCCTGAGAATTCTCTGCAGCCATGAGCATTACCTGAATCTAAACCTCTTCTTCATGACCTCGGCCTCTACTCCAGCATCTCCTTCACCCTCTTTGTCCTCACAGGTAGGCATCCATCAGCCCAATATTAGGTGGTCTTCACCTGAAGAATGCATGTAGAGAAAGACTTCTGTTGCTCTGTATTCCTCTGCTTCAGTTAGAGTTAATGAGCCATCACTACATCAGGGAGAAAAGAGGGAAAACATTAAAAACTAAAGGACCACTACTGCAAAACTGAACCTACACAAGTTAAAGCTTAACGTAGCACAAGTATGCTTGTGGTAATGCTTCAGTAGACCCCTCTAGAAACATGTAAGAAGAAAACAGTTGTTCATGCAGACATAAAAAATCTAAAAAGAACATGGCTGTGAAGGTACAGAGTTCATTTACAGGCATGCCATAGGCACACAGCCGCTAGTACATATTTCAGTACCAGTGTGTATTTTGGAGAGCTAAGGCATATGGCAGCACACAGCAAACTTTCAGTGCTTTTGCCTTCTAGCAGAAGTTCTCAAGTAGATGAAAATGCTATAACTATATGAATTAGTGACAAAACCACTGGAATTTTCAATATTCTGAATGATGTATTGCTGTTGAGCATAGTGTTCTTCAGAGCAGGAGTATCACTCTTTCCAATTCAAATATAAACGTTCTTTTCTTGGGATCCTCTCCTCCCCAGTGGCACAGCTGATGCTATTACTTTGCCTGTAGTTTCTCTGAGCAATTCAAAATTTGTGGTTTTTGAACCATGAATTTCAAATGAACTTTGAAATGTTCAAATGTTCAAAATTCAAAGTAAATTTTGAACCAAAATTCCAGTGGAACAATTCAGATTCATATCTCCCTTTTTAAGTGATACTTGAAAAGTGCCAAAGAATTAGTTATATGCTAAGATCTGCTATGTCACATACCTCAAGGGTTCTGACAGGTCAATAATTGTAATTAATATTTTCTTAAAACTTTTCTTGGTCTTGAAAGCAAAGCGTGAAGGTCCCATAATCAGTTTTTCACAATGTTCTGCTTAACTCTCATGCTAGATTTCAAAGAGCTACAAACAGAACTCCTCTGCTATGTGGGGAGACAGAAATCTTCCAACTGGTTCTAGCAGGTCAGAGCTGGATCATTCCTTCCTTGAAGCAACACCAACTCTTCTCCTTTAGGAGTAACATGTGAAGTGCAACTGCGGCAAATAAATAAGCCTTTGAAGCCCTTGCATGATTTAATACAGTCACTGACCACCCTTGCAGTAATTCTGATCTGTCTGCAAGAGTGCTACGGAGGAAATGTTAGATTTTCAATAAGAAATGTGGCCTTTCAAATAAATCTTTTGGAATTTGTGGAGAGAAGCCAAATTCACTTACGTGGATGCTCTGCCCCTTACTTTTCAGAAACAAAGTGCATTCTGCTCAAGTTTAGAATGGGAGCAGGTTAAGCTAGGTCAGTGTAGGGCAGCTCAGAGATGTAGGCTTCATTTGAAACAATATGCTGGAAGACACCTTTCACAGTATGGTATACTACTACTTCATGTGTCTGGGTTTTGGGACTATTTCTTTGTGACTGACACAAATACTGGGAGAGAATATTAAACAATATAAATTAAAGGCAAATTTCAGACTTATAAACTCCAGTAGCTTCACTGGGGAGTGGAGTCTAAGAGTTATGTTCACCAGATCAAGGTACAAAAACATTCCAGATGACCTGTGGCACCTATGATTGGAGAAGCTAAGAAGTTCACAACACGCATATAGCAGCAACTTTCCATTCCTGGACTAGCTGTATATCAGCCATAGCCGTAAGTTATAGCAGTTTGAAGGTTGCTTTAAATTATGCCAGCTGCCAGCAAGCTCAGCCAAAATTTTCCAGAGCAAAAGGAAACACGGTTCATACACCCTTCCTCACATTACCTCCATGGTAGACATTATAGGAGCTTAATAATGCAGCACTTTTGATGCCCAAAGTCCCCCTTCTATGAGGGGCAACCTCATCAGCTTTGCAACAGTAAGAATGACGCAGAATTCTAAACATGGGGAAAACTCTGACTTTGTCTCCTATCCAAACTGACGATACAGGGTAGGAATTTTACATCTCAAATAGCTTTAAATGAATTGTTTGGACAGAATGGAAAGGATGAGGTTGCATCCTAGAAAGCAATTCATTTGAAAATTGATGCTTTTTATTTCACACACTGATGTGTTCCTCCGTACTTCTTTCAATGCCTGAAATCAGGTTTCCTCTGGTAAGGGTACTTTGTTACCTGCTTAGATTGTCCTTACAACATCTTTAAGAACGTTTGTTTCACTTTTGTTTACTTTTTTTACATCCTATTCTTCTGCAGAACTCTAGCTCCTGCTCCAGCTTCCAGGACCAGAAAATTGCTGGTATGTTTGACCTCTCATCAGAATACCGTCAGCAGCACTTTCTGACTGGGTTACTCTTTACAGAGTTGGCAGCAGCACTGGACGCAGACTGTGAGGGGTGAGTATCCAAATCTGCAGATTGTAGAATGTGACCATGTGAGCAGCAATGTACTGTTGGTATGGTTATAGTTTAACTCTAGGGTTAATCATGTTTCCCATAAATGTAACCAAAATCACTTAACGTATCATGACAGTGCTGGCTGGCATTATCAGAAAGAATATTTTCTGTCTTTGGCACCGAGTCTAAGAGTCCTGCAAAGCTTCTTCAGTGTTGCCTCCATAAGGAATTACTTCTGCATGAACCTTCATGAAAGTTCATATAGAAATGTAGTGGATGTTGAAAAATGTCAATCACACCGAGTTGTGATGTAGACTGATTCTGAGGAAAAGGGAAGCGAAAGAATGGTCTTTGCCATCTTTTTCAATGAGTCACTCTAAAACAGCTTTATTGCAGTATGTTGTTACTGAGTAAAATAGTACTATTTGCTGCAGTGGCATTGGCTAAATAGAGATCAGAGCTCAAAATTTTTATCACTCTTCTCTCTCAAACACCACTGTCTTTTAGCCTAAGAGCTTAGCCTAACTTTGTACAGTGTGTGATGCTTTTCTTTAAGCATCTCTCTTTGCCATACTGATTTTTTCACGGCTGCTTGTTGATTCATGCTATGGCCATGTGAGACAGCTGTCTTTTGCAGGGAACATGGATCTCTGCTCTGAGTGGAAGACACTATCTAATGACTATCGGTGTATTAATTTCCTTTTCCCATGTCCACCTTGTTTCTTAAATCTTTCATCTACAAATAATTTGTGCATGACCCATTATTGGAGCTCATGGCAATTTTTTTGTGTTAACAGGATTAGTAAGGTGCAAAGAAAAGCAGTCAGTGCTATCCTTAGCCTGCTGAGTTCCCATGACCTAGACCCACGTTGTTCCAAAAAAGAGATGAAGATTAAAATTGCTGCTCTCTACCTCCCTTTGGTTGGTATAATTTTGGATTCACTGCCACAGCTCCATGACTTTACAAGTAAGACCTTTATTCCTTTGTCTTTTTCAGCCTTAGAGTAACTTGTCTAAAACAACCTGACTTAAAGAATTTGCCTTAAGTACTGAAATTCTGCCACAGTCTAGCAGGCACAGTATTTCTTTATTTCCAGATAACTGGATTGTTTAAAGAAGGGAAAATATCTAGCGTCCTTACTTACCAAACAAATAGATATACCCAGTGGTATGTCTATGGGATCTTGCAAAAAAAAAGCAGTCTTGAAAGAAAAACTAAGATATAGATAGGCTTCACAGACAGTGAGGAAGAAAACAAGAATGACGTGGGCATTGTGTTACATTACAATTAAAGAAATTGGACTGTATTCCTTCCATATTTCTCTCTTGCTCCTCAGGGCTGTTAACTTGACACTGAAGTTGTCAGAATTCACCTCAGGTGAATGTAGTCATCACTCAGAAAATATATTTCTGTCACCTACTATAACTTTAAACTTCGTTCTCTGTTATTAAGCCTTTTTAAACTAAGCTGTTGATTTTTTTTTTTCTATAAATGTGTTCATATGAAACTGCTGAAAATAGCAATTTGACCTTCTATGTGAGAAATAATAAATCTTTGCTACTTGTAAAATTGCATTTTACTTTTATTTTAAAAATTAAAGACCATAGAAAAAGAGGTATAATCTTTGCAGAATATACTTTTGTCCCTGGCTCTGAAAATGTTTTTCATTTTGATATCTGGACAAGAGCTTAGTGTTATGAATGTATTATTGAGCTCTTTCAGTCTGATAGCATGAAAGCATTTATTGTGCATAATGTAAGTAAATCTCACCACATTCTTCTAATGTAAGTATTATCCTTATGCCACAGACTAAAGAAGTCCATGTCTACCAGTATGGCTAGTTTTTAAAGTTTTTTTTTTTTTAAATATCTGCAGTATCTAAGGTTGTTGACCTTGTTCTGAACACTCAGGGATTGGCTCGTCAGTCAGTTTGCCTGAAAACTGCATCTTGGAAAGCATAAATGGACACTCAGAATATAATGAGATTTTTACAAAGCTTTTATGAACCAGTGGATTCACTGAAATTGATTTCAAGAACTAGCACCGAGTAGAAGCAAGCAGCTGCCTAAAATGAAAATTGTCCTTTAACTTGAAGGCAGTTGCGGCTCTGTCAGGTGTTAGCAGACTTAAATTGCTTGCCAAATTTCCCCAGGCCTGTGCATGGCTTTCATGTTGATCCTTTCATCTGGAATTGACTGAAAGCGGACATTTCTTTCTAAGTATTGTGAAGTTCTGGTTTAGCTTTGAACTTCAGAGCCAGCCTCATGTTTGCTACTGCTTTTGCTTTTAATTCAGCTTCCATAAATACCTGAAGGTTGCTGGGCACAGCTCCTTTCTCCATATTTATTTGAACAATTTGACAGTTTTTACAGATGATTCCTGTCTTGCCATTGCTGTAATTTCTGCTGTTCAATAAAAATAAAGTCTCAGGAATGGAGGTGCCGATCATTTTGTTAGATAACAGCTCAGTGGAAGACTGTGAAATGTGAGCAGCAACAACCCAATTGCTGGATGTTCTAAATCTAGTTTCAGATGCCCGCAGCGGAAAGGGGCGCACAGGAAACCCAGAAGAAGAACAGGAATCTGCAGGTGCAATCAATCAGAATGTGGCACTTGCTATTGCAGGGAATCAGTTCAACCTCAGGAGCTCAGGAACATCTTTGACATCCTTGGTATGTCCAGGGTTTTGCCAGACTCCTTTCTTGCATACGTTTTTATCTTTGCTTTCTCCTTCATATCCTTTCTTCTGACTAAGAATTGCATGCGCAAGAAACTGCTTTCTTGTTTCTGCTAGCCCCAGAAGAATGCCTCGTACTCCTACTGTCATCTTCTCCTTTAATCTTCAAATCTTCTAATTGCCTCCTCACCAGAAGTGATTCTACTTTTTCTCCAGTGTTTCTATTGCCATCTGCACACCCATCCTACTTACGCTTGCAGATCAGCAAATGCTGCTATAACTCCCCTACCATCTCCCTTTGACAGTGTCACCTAAATCCACGGATTTAGGGTGATTATAGGGTTCTTCTCCCTGTATCTCTTTCCTTATGATTGTTTCTATTTTCCACGCATTTTGGCTGATACAACTGGCAAAAGGGGAGCAAACAGTTATGGAATATTTTTTTAAATTATTCTAATGAACTTAAAGTACAGGCAACTAACAAACAAACAGGTTCTGTGCTTCCTTCTTTTTTCGTAAACATACAGCTAGTGCCTCTGTCATATACATATACATAGAGTGACGAAAACAAAATTACTATAACCTGGAAGAGATTAAACTTACAGAAAATCTGCCATGAGATTTGACTCAACTGAAATTTAAGTGACATTACTTCACTTGAATGTTCTTTCTATTCTTTTATCTTTGAACTGACTTTTACCTTATCTGTCTCCAGTCCTACAGACAGAGTGCCACATTAGGTCCTGACACTACTCGCAACCTTCTGATCTGTTTCCTCTGGATCATGAAAAATGCTGATCAGAATCTAATACAGAAATGGATTGCAGACCTTCCGTCCATGCAGCTAAACAGGATCTTAGACCTCCTTTTTGTTTGTGTTTCATGCTTTGAATACAAGGTAAGTGAAACTTGCCCTGGTTTTGTTGTCATGTTTTGTTGTTTTTTTTTCTTTCTAGCTGTCCAGAGGAATCTTGTTATTGACAAGTGTTAAATTAGCTCTTGTCTAATTATGCTACAAACAGACATATTAATTCAAAATGACTGAGACCAGCCTTCAAACAAAATGCAGCCGAAAACTTCTGAGGACATCTTACGAAGTTGGTTTGAAACGTATTACTTTTCCATGTTTAGAGGGTTTCACAGCTATTTTGGGTGGGGAATATATACTCAGTATATACTCAAGTCCAGTTTACTGATGCTTTTCAGTTGTGACTGAATGTAAATAATTGGTGCAGTAATTGCTGGAGCTATTCTCCTTATGTCCTACCCATTTCAAAGCAAGGTCCTAGTGGTGACACTTCATTTAAGGATTAGGTCTGGACATCAGGACTCTCTCTGATGGAGCTTGTCTGAAACAACCTCTGTGCACTTTAATTTCTCTCTCTACAGCACTGAGCTATATCACTATTTCTGATGAACATTACATACACTATCTTTCCTCATCTGGAACCTTTAAGAAGCATTTGTATGTTAGTCAATGATATTTATTGCTGTCTACCTGCTCTCCCAGTCTCTCCTGTTGTCTAAGGTTTGGGTGTTATAATCTGGGCTTGTGCTCAAAGCTGGAGGCATTGGTGTTGATTGCTTTGACTTCACTTTCAGGGCAAACAAAGTTCAGATAAAGTTAGCAACCAAGCACTCCAGAAGTCCAGAGACGTTAAAGCCAGATTAGAAGAGGCTTTGCTGAGAGGTGAAGGAGCCAGAGGAGAAATGATGAAGCGCTGCAGAATACCAGCTGGTACTTCATAGCACCTTTCCCCCATGACTTTTGAGAGGATATTGAAAGGTTTTAGACGTAACTGTGCTTGTTGGGTTTTATGCATGCTCCCAGTTCTCATCTCTATCTTTCTCTCCCACAGTCCTTTCCCTTGTAGGCTTTTGTTGTGGTTAAAAATATTGTTATGTTTCAATTATGCAATGTATAGCTGAGATTAAGAATATGAAGCCAACTAAGAGATTTTAATGAATTCTGAGAAATTGTTGTTAGTTTCTAATCAGAAACCATGTCAAACAATGTCAAAATTATCAGTGAGAGTAAATTGTTAATATCAAAAGATTTGTTTCATTTAATAAATAGAATTTTTATGCTTTGGTCTTAGAAGAAATCAATAAGTAAGCTGATGTTCAAAAAGTCTTAGATGAAAAAATAGTGGAGTCCTGTCCTTTCGTGTGCCCCTGTGCTTTAATCTCAGTAGTATATGTTGCACTTTCAGGGAATGACAGGTCAGCAGGACTAAATGAAAACCTGAGGTGGAGAAAGGAGCAGACTCACTGGCGGCAAGCAAATGAGAGACAAGATAAGTAAGTCATTTAATAAAGTTATTGCTTTTATTAGAACCAAGCTGTTCTTTTCTTTTCTTTTTTTTTAATGTTATGATCTTTCTCCTAAGATGGTTTTAGTACAAAATCAGCAGTGCCAATCCTTTTCCTCCTCTGTTAATGGAAAAGAAATAGAAAATGTGTATGTAGCAGAAAAATCCAACTGTTGCTGTGATGTAACAGAGATCAGAAATACTTGAATGAGATGTTTAGTTATCTATATTTTTTCCTTTTGATTATCAAAGTGAGAAATACTAGTCATTGGTACATGCATCATATATTCATATATATATCATCATGGCTTCCCATGACAGTTGCTTTGGTGTTGCTATCACACTTTGCTGTGTACAATACTGTGGTATAAGTTTCCCACATTAAATATGTTTGGCTGGATTTGACATCTTAGCTATGGCAAGTTGATTCTGTAGTGAACATTTTTTCTTGTTGCAGGCTGAAAGTTATGATATATCAATACATTTCACCTTTTGTGCACTATATAGTAATAGACATGTAAATGTCTAAATTTATGGGAAATGGTAATTTCAGGAAAGATTTGTGCTACTAATAGCATTTTCATATGATACATGGTACTCTTCTGTAAGTATTTAAGTTGTTGCTTTTCTCTAATGTGACCATGCATAGATCGTTGTCCACAGATACTTGCTTGAATTTTGTCTGTCTGACACACAGGCCACTGTGTGTTCTCACCACTCCAGCTGCTCTGAGTTCCCCCAGTATCCTTTAGCGTGTGTGAGTTTGAACTGGAACACTGGTTTGTGATCAGCTCAGCAACTGTGTTGTTGTCACCTAGCACGCAGCTGCAATTATCACATACTTTTTTTGAAAACAAAGATTGTTAATTTGGTATTTATCTGAACTTTAAAAGAATAATCCTTCTGCCCTCCATCCTAAGTTGGAAGAGGTGCAGATCCTGTGTGGATGTTCTTACTTTGCCTTGAAATCAGCTTGCTTCCTCTCAGTTTCAGTGTAGTCAGCGTAAACCGGCCTCATGCAGCAGCTCTATATTATTGTTAAATATAAATTTAATTAAAACTTAAATTAAATCTTCTAGTAAAACTCTGCATCTTGTCAAGGCCTTTCTGTTTTACCCTGTGTTCATCACTGTGGTAGGTGAGATCCTTTAGAGATCCCTTATGGATTTCTACAGCATATGTCCTGTAAGTAAGGTGTTTGCAGGTCACCTACATGACACAAAAACTTTGCAAATGTTGCCACTTAGCCTGCATCTCGTTGAAGCCAGCATGTTATGAGATGGTGACAAGCTGCAGTTACAAGCTATGTTTGGTGTCAGAAAGGATCCAGTCAGCATAGTTTATGTGCTAGCCTTGTGGCTGTTGGAAATGGTTCAGAAGGCTATGTCATTTGCCTAATTTGTTCCACTCTTACTCATAGTTAGCAATTCATGGCTTGATTGTAGCACCAGCTTTTTGGCAGCCCCTTCTTTTCTTCATTACTTTGAATTATTGTAGTTAATAACTGTGCTACTGTTCTTACTTTCTGTCCTGTCGCTTCCTGAAATTAAGAAGTTGTGCCCAAAAAGATGCTCCTTAATTCTCTGGTTTTCTTTTTGGGTGTGATTCCACTGAGAAGGGAAACAAACATAGCAGAACAGCTACAGATTTTGAATTCGTTCAGAAGTGTGTTTGTAAGTGTTCTTCCAGCCACAGAAAAATGATATTTAGCCTTAGAGCAGCTCAAATCTCAAATCCTATAAAGCTGCTTCAGCCATGCAGTGGGTCTTTTCAGAGTGGTTTAGGAGAAAGATTGGTATCAGCTCTCCTGGTTTGACGCTGTAGTTCTTAAGAAATGCCTCCAAACACTGTTGTTACTGTTTGCTCTTGAAGGATCATTCTGCATGTGTATTTTGCTTTTGTTTTGATAGTAGGTCATTCACCACCTGTGGAACTCCCTTCTTGGTCTAATTAGAACTCTTTTCTGCAGGACAAAAGCAGAGCTAGACCAAGAAGCTCTGGTCAGTGGAAACCTGGCAACTGAAGCTAACCTGATCATACTTGACATGCAAGAGAACATCATCCAGGTGGGAAACTGCAGTGCTGGCTTGGTATACTTTCTGCTTTCTCAGAAGGCAGTGGAAGCAAGCCTTTTGTATCTTAGGTGGTGCAAATTGTTTTAATTAAAGATCTACTGTAAGCTTGTATGAAGTCTTGGAGTGGTGAAGAAGGCAAGGGTGAATGAATCTAAAGACAAAATTACTTCCTTACACTGTTGTCACGAGCACTTTCTACTGTTAGGGCATGCCACTGTGAATAAAAGGGAAATCTAAACCCTTATCCTCCACAGATGTGTTTAAAAGCCATTTCAACTGTGTTACTATGATAGTGGAGTTTGGAGAGGATAAGGGAAGAAAAGTCTTCATTTTTATTAGCAATGTATTTTAAGACAGTAGTAATTTGGAACTAGGCTGATGGACAGCCTTAGGTCATACTTTGAGTGATCCTGTGAGACAAAAGTCGTTTAACCTTGACTCTCACAGAGTACTTAATGCAGGGAAAGATCTTCCACCTGCATGGTGTCCTTCTGAAAAGAGCTGTGTCCCCCTGTAGCAATGTAAAGAATTTAACTTGCAGGAGTCAAATGCAGCAACATTTCACAGGCTCTGACATCAATAGAACCATAACAATTGACTGTGCTGAGACAAGGTCTCCTGGCTTAAGAAAGCCACTCCAAATTCATAGGTATTGGAATAGTACTGTTGGAGCAACTTGTATTAATACATAATTAAGAGAGAACTTTGTTTTTCAAAACCTACTAGTTGCTAAGGATTTAGCTATTAGATCCTTGTAGTACTGGGCATCACTTTTACATGGCACCCATTATTGCAACTTGTATCCCTTTTGTCCAGGTTGTAGGTTTGACCCGAAGATACCAGTATGCTTGTCTAGCCCGTATGCCCAGAAATGCATGAGGGGAAAAAAGCTGGTGCATAGCCACCACACAGTCACTTCCCAATGCAGGGTGCATGAAAGATTAGACACAAAGCTGACGTGAGGAGCCTATGAAGACTGAAAAATATTGGAAACGTTTTCCTATCATCTTGTCACTACAAAACTGTTTTGAGTTCCCTTTGCAGTAGATGTTAAGAAATTAAAACAAACAAAAACCTGTGCTCTCCAAACTGTTGGATGCATCTATTGGATGGGAGAGCAGAACATCCAATTCCTACGTGCAAGTTCACTGGGGAATTACCTCGTGCAGTTATTGTTGTTTTTCTCCTTCGTGTATAGGCAAGCTTTGCAGCAGAATGCAGAGACAATCTTTTGGGAGGAGTTTTGAAGGTCCTGGTAAATTCTCTTGGCTGTGATCAGAGTACCACTTACCTGACTCACTGCTTTGCTACACTCAGAGCACTCATTTGTAAGGTATGCTTTTGACATGGTTCTGTTTCCGTGCTTCCAGATGTTGTTAGAGCAGCATTTCTATAGCAGAACTGTAGGTAATCACTCACCATTTTTCCCATGGCGTTTGTTAAGTATGTTTAACAGGTGTAAATACTAACGCCTAGATGGAGGGACTCCAGGAACTTCTCTAGCTGCTGTAAGATTAGCTCATTGACTGCATAAGGTGGGATGAATTAATCAGAACAACTTTGTGGCTGTGAGTTTGAGCAACTCACTCTTAAATACAGAAAAGTTACAAATAAAAAAGTATTAAAAAAATTACAACTAATTATTTCAAATTCATTCTGATTTTAATTAGGCATTTTAGTTCCAGGGAATGCACAGATACTGTAAAGAAATATCTGAATTACTATATAATCAAGACCAGTTTCCAATTCGAAATCTGGGAAAGAGCCATTCTCCTATGAAGAAAATTACTTCCACAACAGAAGAATCAGTGACATGTTTTTTTCACCTAAGCTATTCTAAAATGCAAATGGCAAATAGATACTCCTGTCCAGTTAATGCCTGTTTGCTGCTAAATGCAGATTGTCTGACAAAGCCTAATTACAGGGTAGATATCTGAGTAGTTATGAAACTCATAATTATGTTTTCATTGTACATCTTTGGGAGCTAACTACCAATTAAAATAATGAATTTTGTGAAGCAATTGTTACTCTTATTGAAGTAGATCTCCCAGTTAAGCTGATTCAGTTCTTCATTTTATGAAGCAATCATTGCAATTATTTGTATTGCACCTTAGGTATATACATGTTATTTTACAAACAAATGAAAATGATAGAACCCTACACTAGCAGGTTTGTAATATAAATTAGGTGTAAAACAGTGAGATAATTGAGTAAAGAAGGTCAGAGTCTGGGAAATAGGCCTGCAAATGGAAAATAGCCCAGAACTCTTCTCACCCATCTTTTATCAGTCCAACCTGTGCACGTATGACACTGGTGCAACACTTCTATGTACAGTGACAGTCTCTTAGGATAGGCATTCTGCTCCCTGGGTTTATTGTCTGGTAGATGCATGAAGACATTCTTCAAAAGAGGGTCTGTCATGAAAGATGGGCAACAGAATTTTTGTGGCACACTGTAGGAGGAAGAACATGCTGGAGGGCTGGGGAGGGGTAGGGCGTTGATGCAAAAAGCCACTAATTACTCCTTATGCACAAGGAAATATTTGCATGGTTCATCAACTGTTAGATATTCTGGAAATAGCAACTCTTCCTGCTTTTTAAGAATTTTGCAATGCTTTATCCTTTCAAAAACTCCTGAAGGCACCATGGGACTCCCTGAGAAAATTTTTGTTCTCCCTTTCCATGCTCTTTTTTTTTAGACAGAAAGACTGTTTTCAAACCCTTCTTCTCTTTGGAATAGTTTGGAAATGGAATCTGTAGAGGCACAGAAATCAGATGCCCATATTAAGGGTATAAAATGTTATTTGTATAAATTTTAGTCTTTGTCTGAACCCTGTGACTTTCATGCACTAAGCTCATGGTATTTTAATGGCCAGAAATGGTAGTACTGATTCTGTGATTCTGTGATTCTTACTGAATGGTATCTTCTGTGTCTCCTTTAGTTTGGAGATTTCCTGTTTGAAGAAGAGGTGGAACAGTGTGCTGACCTCTGTCAAAGAGTTCTCCATCACTGCAGCAGCAGCATAGACATTACACGGACTCAAGCCTGTGCTACTCTTTATCTCCTCATGAGATACAGCTTCAGCTCTACCAGTGTAAGATTTTGTCAGTAGCAAAGTGTTTCATGACAATTGAAACAGAAACTGAAGCTGTGGTAACAAACAGGAAGCATCTGCAGGTCAATATGTTGTGCTGTTTTGCACACTTGAACTGGAAGTGGTGTGAGAAGTGTAGAGAAAGAATTGTTTTAATCTTTGTTCAATGTTTTGTTTAGGAAAATGTGATTTTTTTCTGCAGTATCTATAAGTACATTTTCAAATGGAACATCATGGGGCTCTGATAGCAAGGGCTGTACGATAGATAAGCAACACTTTATTTTTCTTACAATTTTTTTTCCTTCTGTGTCAAAACTGCTTCTGACCAGTTCTATTCTAATGCAATTACAGCCTTAGTAGAATAACTGTACATTGTTACTAATGCAAATTTTTCACTTTCCCTTTCATGTCAAGGACTATAAACTAGGTCCAGATTTTACCTATGCACACAGAGCAAAATATATATTTTATTTGTGTAGATTCCAGATGTCCTAGCATGTAAATACATTCATTAGCATCATTTTCTCCCTAGTTCTCATTTTAAGAACCTTTAATAATAAGATATGGTGGATCTGCAGTAGGAGAGTAAGCCCCTGAAGCAAGTGTTACCATCAAGGTATGGTGCATCACCAGATGAAATCCTTGGAGGCCATTTACTTCATAGATATGTTTCCATAGTACTGCTGGCTCTCATTCTCTCTGAGTGGCTGATCTATATGCCTATTGGCCTGTCCTGAGGTGAAAAGGCTGGACGTGGCTCTGGGCAGCCTGGTCTAGTAGTTGGCAACACTGCACGTAACAGGGGTTGAAGCTAAAGGATCATTGTGCTCCTTTTCAACCAAAGACATTCTATGAAAAGAGAGAGCTGACTTCCTCTAGTTTCAAGCAACCATGGTCTTGCCTCGTAGCTCTGACATGCCAGAGTCCATGTGATTCTTGTTCACATGAGCAGCAACTTTAACCCACACAGTGTTGGCAGGTAAAAGTGGTTTGGTTTATGTAGGAGACAGAGATATGTGAACTGATATGATATGCATGGTGTATCATCTCTAATTTGTGGCTTTCTTTTCGTTCTTCTGAAAGAATTTTTCAAGAGTAAAGATGCAGGTAACCATGTCACTGGCTTCTTTGGTTGGCAAATCACCCGAGTTTAATGAGGAATTCCTTCGACGATCTTTACGAACTATCCTGGCCTATGCAGAGGAAGATGCAGACATGCAGGCAACTCCATTTCCCCTTCAGGTCAAATCTTTTGTAATATCTGTGGTTTGTATTAGAGCTTTCACATAGGAATGTGCTTGGAGCTAGTCCTAGAATCTCAGTCTTACTGAAGAATGAAAATAATGATGCAGGAATTATTGTCTGAGCTTATGTCTTATGCAACAATAAGCAGGACAGAAGTGGAAGACTCAGTTCTGTACCATTTGATTCACATTAGAGAAGGGTTATCTCTTGGCTTTGTAGAGAGCTTTCTCTTAGGCCCCAGCAAGGAACCATAAGAATTTCCCAGGGTAGAATTTGGTTAAGTATGTTATCTCGCAAGTAGCACTGTGGAGACATCTCTCTTCTTTTCAATTTACAATGCAGCAGTAGCAGTAATGAAAAACATTTCAGACAACTGCCAGGTGCTTTGCTGAAATTCAGTTTGTGCTGAAGACTTACAAAAGCATCTGATTTGTTACTAGATCACAGGAAGAACTAAATTGGCATGTAGTCTTGGAGTTTTTTGTTGTTTTTTTTGTTTGTTTGTTTTGTTTGTTTGTTTGCTTTATTCTTGATTTTTGATTTTGATTTGTGGTTGTTTTTTTCTTTTCATTCAGAAGTAAGCTGATCAAAGGTGTGTCCAGCTCATTTTGATTCATTAAAATGTATGAATAAAATTTGCTATGTCAGTAGTGTTTGCTGCATTGAATAGAATTGGAAAAACATGCCTAGTAGCAATTCAGCATCCTGCATTTCCTTCAGTAAGAGGGACTAAGTTTGACTAACATATCGTCTGTTGCAAGGACTGGTACTTTTCTAGAAAAGAAAAAATAAGTGCCTGAGAAATGCCTGTTCATCTTTGTATTACTGCAGGTAGAGGAGCTGCTGTGTAATCTGAACAGCATCCTGTCAGACACAGTGAAAATGAGGGAATTTCAGGAAGATCCAGAAATGCTCATGGACCTTATGTACAGGTGAATCCAGTTAGAATTGCTAGTGAGAAAATTCTGCACTGAGGTGAGCACAGGAACTGTGTGTGTCAGGGACAAGCTGAAGACAAATACTCTAGCTGTTCTATACGCTCCCACTTCTGACCTGACAGCTGACCTGTCATAGGGGACCCAGGTGGGACTGCTTATGTGGAGTCATGGCAGTAGGAAGGACTGGGAGGTCACTGGTGTGTATGGGCTTGAGCAAGGATGCAAGTCAGGAACTAACGATCACTGAAGGATCTTGGTTTCAGCATTTTTGCTTCCTCATAACTCCACTATTTCCTAGCTCCCCTTCTCTCGCTACTTCTTTTACCATGTGCTTAGTGAATCCTTCTTAGAGAATAAAGACAGAGGTGTCTGCTTCCATTCAGCCCATGTGGAGAACTACAGAGATCCTTTCTGTTATTTGAGAAGTCGTTCGCATCTCCTGTCTTCCCTGTGTCATTAGAATTGCCAAAGGGTACCAGACGTCACCCGACCTGAGACTGACTTGGCTGCAGAACATGGCAGAGAAGCACACCAAAAGGAAGTGCTACACAGAAGCAGCTATGTGCCTCGTCCACGCTGCTGCGCTGGTGGCAGAGTACCTCAGCATGCTTGAAGATCGCAGCTACCTCCCAGTGGGCAGCGTCAGCTTTCAGGTAAGAAGGGAATCCAAAGCTCTGACAGACTAGGATGACCTATCGTAGTTTGTGTATTTCTTCTTGTGTCAAGCTGAGTAGGAGTGGATGTACAGGTAGGAAAAGTTATGATGACAGAGGATCTATCACCACTTTTGATAGATCAGTCTGATTATTTATTACACTCACTGATGAAAACTAGTACTTAAGTGTCTAGCTGTAGCTTCTACTGCAGTCTTTGGATGCTGTAATCTCTTGTTTGTCGAAGAAAAACCCTCTATTATCATATATCTTTTCCTATGGTTGTTACTTAGTGATTGTGACAGATGGATCTTTCAGCCTTCTTTCTGATAAGCTAAGTAACTGGAGCTACTCTATTTTATTAATCACATTCTCCAATCCTGTAAGTGTCCTCCAGTTACGAAGCAGCATCTTTCTCAGGAGTAAATGGCACAATCACATTAGTTTATGCACAGTAAAAATGTCCTGCAAGATCTTCAAGTCTGGGAATTACCTTTTAGGTTATAGCTTCAAGGGCCCCACTGGTTTCTTTGGCCTTGTTGAGCTCCTTACTCAGTGATACACCGGCCTTTTCCAGAGAGATTTCTTGGATTATTTTTTGTTTGCTTGTTTGTTTGTTTCCCTCTTTGTTTTTTACACCCTATGAATTAAAATATAATTATCTGCTCTAAGAAATGGTTTGAAATGCAGGTATTCATTCACACTCAGCTTATCAGATATGCAGTTTTGATCATTCTTACCCAAACTTATTTTATGTGCAAACATAGTGATTTTATTCCTTTTTTTTTTTTTTTCCACATGTAAAATAGGTTTGGCTACACGCTTAGAGTATTCCTATGTGTTGATGCTTCTTTTCTATTCTATTTCTACTATTGTTGTCTAAAGCTTATGATGATCCCTTCTAAGACCATTTTTTATTTATACTGTTTGCTGCAATGATTTGGAATCATTCTAAGCAGTGAATAGAGTGCAGTACCAACTTACACACTGTATAGACATCTATTGTTTGGGCACTGTTGATGCCATCTGATTGTAGTCTTTTTAAATTAGAACCCAAGCTTCTATAGCCTGGTGTTGATTCAGATTAATTACTGTGTGTTTGAATTTTTTTTTAATTAAAATGTTGTATCAGTATTTCCATTATTTTGTCTGGAATGTGACTGATGAGCTGACAAGCCTACTACTTGCTGCTTATCTTGTTTACTTTTTTAAAAATGTAGTTCCCAAAAGAATTTTCCTGCTCTGGTACTTTTCCGATTTTCCGAAACATACAGAGGCTCAGTGTTAACTGCTAGAATACCCTCTTGCTTAGCTCATTCAAAGTGTTGAGGGGCACATTTTACAGTCCAGGTGGTTCAGGAAGGGCTAACACTAGTAGTACATTCATCATCCCTTGATATAGCCACAACATGTATGGTTTTTTCGCTTCAGAATAGTGGATGTGAATATTATTGAACCACTTGGAATTTTGCATTGTGTTTAGTATTCACAATTCCACCATAGCAATCAGGTCATTGACTAGCATTATTCTTTCATAATTCCTTTACTGCTAAACCAGCTGTGTGTACTTTTTTTTTTTTTTACTGTCTAACCTTCTGGCCATGGATTTATACTCCCGCATTCCTTGTTCTTTTGTTTCTCTTACCAGTTTTGCATACTTCCTAACTTCAAGCTTAAATTCACTATTTCTATTTTCTTCTTTTCTCCCTGCTTTTTTTGTACAATCATCATCTGGATACAGGTGGAATTCCTTATGAAAGGACTGCTCTCAGACAATCACAAATACTTGTAACACACGCACACACTTCATTCTAATTCAGTTCCTTCTTTCATTGCTCCCAGATTGAGCAGATTTCCACAAATGAGTATGATTCTAATTATTTTACAGAACTGAAGACTATTTTACAAGACACCAAGCAAGTTAAAACTTAGAAGAGTTTAGAAGAGCATCTTAAACAAATCAATCTCTCTGATCAAGATGCTTGTGTAAATACATGCTTTCCTTGCTACATAGGAATACATAGCATTCCTTGCTAAAGGAAAAGTTGCTCCATAGGAGAGAGGCAGTTAAATGCCTTAATTAAGGAGAGAAACTCAATTACAAAACATTTTACTGACAGCGTAATTTTGAGCTTCAGTTTGCTCAATAACAACACTTAAGTGTGGTAACACTTAGCATTTTTACAAAGCTGTTCAAGAGAAGATATCCTGTTCTTTACAAATAGATCTGTGTTTCATAGCACCTCGATGATCTCTTTAAAAAAGAAAGAACATTACTCAGGCTGTCTCAGCTTTACCTGGAGTTCCAGATCTCACTCACTAATTCTTTCTGGGTCCATTTCATTTAGCTTCATTATGAAATTAACTAGTATTGGTGATATGTATTTGGTTTTTTTTGTAATTAATGTAAAGTACTGCTCTGAATAAGCAAAAGCGTTAGCTCGTTTTTGTAAATGAGCAAAGTGGAACAGCAAAAGATTAAATGAGTTTACGTAGGTATTTTGCAGTTATTTCATTAGAGTCCTCAAAACTGATTGTCTGAAAGGTAACACTTTACCATATACTGTGCCAGGCAAAACTGTATATGCTCCCATCTCTGCAATCATAAAATTTTCTTTGGAGATTGTCAGTTCGTGTTCATACTGAATTCCCTTTGTGAGTGAGAATGATGACTTAAAGAGAGTATGGACTGGCTTTAAAGTCAGTTTACATTACCACACACAAGGCCTTAGTATGTTTGCATCTATCTGTTGAGATCCAAGGCTAATTAGCATAGTCCTGGCATTAGGCTAATCAGCCATGGTGTTCTGAGGATCAAAAATGCAGGCTACTTGCTACATCTAACTTTGTGATGAGGTCTGGTGACAACTGGCCAAGCCTCTTGAATTAACACAAGTGTCTCCTTTACTCAAAGAAAAATAGGGCCTTGTTGTTCAAAATAGTTACAGAATATATATTTGGTAATTTGTAAATTGCTTTTGTCATAGAGGAGACTTAGAAATTATTCCATATTGAAGGTGGTTGAAGGAAAAAAAATGAATGGGATATGTCCATGCTGCAAAAGATTATACTAGCCCCAGAAATATGTCATGGAGATGCTTTCCTACTAGAGCGTGTGGATTGAAAAAAACATGGAAATACATTCCTGACATTGGTTATTAGAGATTTAAAGACAAAGAAGAGGGGATTCATGCCTGTGATTTTTCTAGGTTTCCTCTCACATGTAAATCAGTCTTCTGGGCGCTCTTCCCATTGCTAAAGAAAATAAAACAAAGAAGGCATAAAATACTGTGTGCCACTTTGTGAAAACAGTCCTAATGGTACTGTCATGTAAGGAGAGAGCCAGAAATTGGGCTGTAGCATAGGTTGTATGAGTTGCCTTAGTATGTGCCAGGTATGCAAACTGTGTTTAATGTTACTGTCTTCAATCGGACTGGTAGCTGAAAAACGACAGCCATGGGTCCACTTAAAGGTGCTGTCATTTTCTCTCTGGATGAAACACAGACATATTCTCATTCCTGTGAATGCTGTCCTGAGTTTAATGCTGATTATGGTAGAGGAGCTGATATGATGTTCAGAACAGACACAGTGATGGTAATGTGGCTGCAGTAAATTTGGCTTATGGAAAAATAAATGCATCTACAAAAGCCACGGGGGGAAGTTCTGTGTTGCTGGTGATGTGTGATGTCAATTCTTTATCTGAAATCTGATCAGTAGTAGCAGCCCTCAGACTCTCAGCCATTTTATAAAGATGTCTTCTAGGAATTAGATATCTAGCCAGCTGGCAGCTATCTTGCACTCAGATATTCATTGTAAGTTCTACTGCAGAGAGACACCATGACGTTAAGTTAACTGCTTTTAAGTACTAGCAAATCAAACCTTAGCATGCAGTTATTTCAGTTTTTAGAGTAGTACTGTCCATGTTGTACTTCTCTGTTTCTAAAAATTGCAGAATTAACAACTGGAGAATTCAGGTTCTTCTAAAAGCTCAAAGAAGGGCTGAGGTGCAGCTTGAAATTTTTCACCTGTGAGTTATGAGAAACTGAAAGGATATGGCCTCTAGTTATCCCTGTGGCATAGGAGATTCAGTGCATTCCAGCATTCCAGGGAAACCTAACCACCTGAAGGAGGTCAGCTGGTGATCTGCAGGAGTTCACCTTTTAATCCTGAGGCAAGAAAAAAAGTTTAGCCTTCTTGAAACGAAACTCCTGATCTGCCATCTGCAAAGATTTATGATGTTACATTTACTTCTAAATAAGATTTAACTGTGTTCCCTCTGGCTGCACTTCATCTCATTCTTCTTTCTGTCATTTAAGTATGTTGAAACTTTTCTGCCTGGATCTTTACTGTAGTCTGTTGGTCTAGGTTCCTGATTTCTCTGCTCTGATGTATTTTAGAACATTTCATCCAATGTGCTGGAGGAATCTGCTGTTTCAGATGATGTTTTGTCTCCGGATGAAGATGGTATATGTTCTGGGAGGTACTTCTCAGAAAGTGGCCTTGTAGGTTTACTAGAACAAGCAGCAGAACTCTTCAACACGGTGAGTGAGAGCAAAAGCATGGGGAGATGTAGAGGGGTTGTGCCAGTTGGTTTTCCTGCACAGGAGAAAGTGAAGGTTTAGTGCTCAGCCAGGCTCCATGGATCTGCCCCATTGCAGACAGCTTCACCCAAGGTAAGTGGGCATCTGGCAGTCCTCACAGCTACTTGTCTAAAACCTCAGTAGATCAACAGGCAAGCAAATGGGGCAGAGAACTACTGCTATGCTTAGTCACCTCCAGCCCAAATTGATAGGGTTAGCCATTGCTTGCTTTTTGAAAGACGTTTTGCCAAGCCATTTCTTTTGGTTTGTCCAGATGCAGGTTTTGTTGTGTTTTCCTCTCAGTAAAACCATACGTGCAGAACAAATCCATTCCCTTCTTCTCACCTGGGTTTCTAGCTCTTCAGGTCCCTGACGAGAAACCATGTGCTTTACATGGGAATTTTGTGCTGAGTGCCCAACAGAGCAGAGATCCAAATTAAATACAGCTTTTTTCTTCACAGCTACTTTCAGAACTCTCTTTTACAGTTTACAGATTTTAGAAGGCTTAAACAAGTGACAGAATAGATTGAAAGATGAGTCTCATAAATCCCCTTTTCAGACAGGCTATAAATAGAGATCTAGTTTCTTATCAGAGATCGTGAGAATTCATTTCTTGTTTTCTGTGTTTTTTCTTCTCTCTCTTTTTTTTTTCTTTTTTTTTTTTCCACCAAGGGAGGGTTGTATGAAACTGTGAATGAAGTGTACAAAATTGTCATCCCCATACTGGAAGCACATCGAGACTTCAGGAAGCTTACCTTGACACATAGCAAGCTACAGAAGGCCTTTGACAGCATTATTAATAAGGTACTTGTGAGGCAAGGCACCACCAGCAACACATGTTGCTAGGCTGCAGTATTTGGTTATGATTAATGATAGTGAAATGAAGACTCGTGAGAAATAGGTCAGTTTTCTTTTTCTAACAGAAGCTTCCATTTGCTTTGTCCTACCTATAGAGCGTGCTCTATAGCGAAGCTCTATTCTCCATGCCAGAAAAAGAAGTAAATATGAAATTGTTTTAGAGTTAAAAAAACAAACAAACAAACAAACAAACAGCTGAATAGGACAAATTTAGGAAAAGGAGACTTTATTCAACCTGACACATGTATTTAAGATAAACAACTTTCGTGTCCACTACTTAGTATTTTTAGTTATAAAACAGAGGAAAGAAAAAACTGACTTCTCAGTTCTCAAGCTGCTCCTGTAGTTATTTTTCTCCAGAACTGTTTTACACACTGAACCTAGTCAGTTACATGTTCTTACCAACTTTTGTTCCTTGCAGGATTGAATTTTGTTAAATAGAATGGAATTTAAAGAAATTATGAATGCTGTTTTGTAAAAGTCATGTCATGGTCAGTCTAAATCTTAAGTCAGGTGGCAGTCAAATGTCCTCTTAAACCGTATTTTTTCTTTAATGCTTCTAATTCACTGGCACTGAAGACATATAAACCTAAATATGCCTCTGAAATGTGGGAAGATGTAAAATTAGTATGAAAAGGGGGAAAAGGGCATCCAAGTGGTACTCTGTTGACATCAAAAAACAGGTAATTATGATTTTCCTCTTTTTCTGTATCTGTTAGGGACAAAAGCGAATGTTTGGAACTTACTTCCGTGTTGGTTTCTATGGATCCAAATTTGGTGACTTAGATGAACAGGAATTTGTTTACAAGGAGCCTGCAATTACCAAACTTCCTGAGATTTCTCACAGATTAGAGGTAAAGAAAAAAAAAGATGGTGGTGATATTATCTCTTATGTTACATCATCCTTTCTAAAGAACGCACAGAGTTTTAATAGCATTACTATTATATAAAACCCAATCACAAAACATAGTTTTTACCATAGATTATTTCTTTTGTGTATGTCTTTTCTCTTTCAGTTGTAGGCCTTTTTTACAGCAGAGTGATGAAAGTGAGGACCTCAGTACCACAGTTTGTAGTATATTGAATTTGATCTGAGTGGGCCAGATACTTGCTTTGGTACCTTTTCAGCTTTTTGATGGAACTGCAATGTTTTCTTCTTCTCTGTTTAGCTGGAACCTTGATTTTTTTTTTGTGAGAAACTCAAACTGAGCTTTGTCAGTAAGGTAAAGCCTGTCCAGCTATGTTTCATGAAGCATATTTACCATACAGAACTCAGAAATCATCATAGTTGCTCCTTTCTTTTAGAGGCATACAAGTTAGTAGCACTGTATTAAGGACTAAAAACACTCTGGAATAATTCTGTTTCCTTTCCAGGGATTTTATGGCCAGTGCTTTGGGGAAGATAGTGTGGAAGTCATTAAAGACTCTGCTCCTGTTGACAAAAGAAAGCTGGATCCCAATAAGGTAAGGAAAGCACTACTTACAGAGTTGAGTGCTTCATCACAGGGGAGAGGGATCCCCTTGAAGGCTTTATACTGAAACATTAAGGTGGATTATAGCCTATGCCATGGTAGCTGGTTACTGTGAGTGGAAATTAGATGCTCTGATCCCCCAGAGATATGTTGCACCCTCTCCAGAGGTAAGTTTTGTCAGCTGTGAAGAAGAAAAGGATTTGTAGCTCGGCGCTCTTCCAGACCATGCTTAGCTAAGTGAGAATTATTGTATGTACCATTCCTTTACACTTCTTTCACTGTGAAGTACTGTAATGGTTCTTCCCTTTTCTCTCAGGCATACATACAGATTACTTTTGTGGAGCCGTATTTCGATGAATATGAGATGAAAGACAGGGTAACTTACTTTGAAAAGAACTTCAACCTCTGTCGCTTCATGTACACTACGCCTTTCACCATGGATGGGCGCCCTAGAGGAGAACTTAGTGAGCAATACAAGAGGAACACCATTTTGACCACAATGCATGCTTTCCCCTACATCAAAACTAGAATAAATATCATCCAAAAAGAAGAGGTAATTGGGTTTTGAGGACAAATCTATTTTCTCAGTGGTTGAAGGAGTCTCAGGGGGAAGGTTTTGAAATTCTGTGGTAGACAGGAAAAAAAAAAAGCTGAATTTTTCAGACATTACTCTCATAAATAGGAATGGCATAGAATGGGTAGGAAATTTAAGATGGATACTCCACTTACTGTGGAGAAGAAAGGGCAGAACATTTAAATTCTTTTGACTTCTCATATGCTGTGTGGAATAATACATCGAGCTCCATTTATGGCTGTACTTCCAGCTGATAACATACAGTCAAAGAACTAAATTGGGCTTAGAGCTGCAATAGAAACACAGAACCTTTATTATAGGAGAAAATGAAAAACTCTTTCAGACATCAAGTCAGCAACTTAGAATAATAGTGAGTATATGCAAATGGAGAATCTCATCCAAATCCTGCTCTTGCAAGCGATAAGATGCCAATAAGCTCTGAATCAGATGTGGCATTTATCAAGACAGTCTTTCCAGGGTTCACAACTACTCTAATCACACGGGGCAGTCATATTTTTAATGCCAGATTTAGAACAGGCCAATTATGCAGGTGGTTCAAGTAATGAATCTTTCTTCTTCCACTTCCAATAGTTTATTTTAACACCAATTGAAGTTGCTATTGAAGATATGCGGAAAAAAACACAAGAACTAACTGCAGCTACGAACCAAGAGCCACCAGATGCTAAAATGCTACAAATGGTTTTGCAGGGCTCAGTTGGAGCCACTGTAAATCAGGTAAGGAATCCAAATAAGCCAGATGATGATTTTCTGCATACTTTTCTGCTCATGCTTTTTTTTTTTTGCACTCATCTCTTGCACAGGGAGAGGTACATTTAGTCAGACACATTTAGTCACAATGCCAATTTAAACTTTATCCTTTGATGCCTAGTCCTTTTATTCTGTCTGTTTGGTAGACTTTTTTTTTTTTTTCTTTCCTGTTGTTGAAGCAGTTCTCAATTAACACAGCTCCTCCATCAGGTTTGCTACGTGGGTGTGCCAAGTAGAGGTGAAGTCAAGCAGACATTGGAGTGTTTCTTTTGGTGATGGTGCTTGATGAAATGCCATCTTGGTTGTATGTGCAGATAATCATATAAACCTTGTGATTTCATCCAAGGATTTTCTGTTTCTAGCATGCTAGCCATCTCAGCTATTTTGTGCAATCCAGATGCATCCTCAGGGAGCAAGAATAATAACTCTGCCTGCAATCATTATAAATTCACAATTTGCAGAACTTCATGAAGCCGAAGAGAAGAGTGCCGTCCCCTCACCTCACCCCCCACCCCCCAAAAAAACCACAAAGATGATCTTAAAAAAAAAAGGCTTCCCCCAAAAAAGGACAAAATGAAGACAAATCTAAGAGAAAAGTTGGCATTTATCCACCTTTTCACAGAGTTGGATTCTTTGCTGAAAGCCAAACTCTTCTTGGTTTCTCCAGATTCTTGGTCAGCGGAAGCCCCCAGCGTGAAGTAACATGTTGTAAGTTTTGAAAAGAGTGGCCTCTTTTCGCCCTGGTTTTATCTGACTCCTTTGAGATGGAGTAATGCCACACATGGGCTTTGGCAGTACATCTGCCTAGCTCTCCTCTGAAGAGTAGAATTAATTCTTTCTCTTCTTTGTGCAGCTGGAGGATAAGTAAAATCAAGTAAGGATAAAATACAATGTGCAAAAATTGTTTGCCAAAGGTAAATTAAGAGAAAAGAAAGGAAAAACATCCTGTTATGGTGTCTGTGCATAGTTATCTTTTCTTCTCTAATTTCATGCACAAAATGATCAAGCATATGGTCTGCTTTCAGTTTTTTCTGACATTTTCTTTTGTTGTTCCTGTAAGGGACCACTAGAGGTAGCGCAAGTGTTCCTGGCTGAAATTCCAGAAGACCCCAAACTTTATCGACATCACAACAAACTGAGGTTGTGCTTCAAAGAGTTTATAATGAGGTTAGTAAAACCACATTTAAATGTGGAATGGCGTTGATAATTTCAGTAATGGCAATAATGAGACAGTAATATGAGAGTGTAATTAATTTTACAAGCTAGTACCACAAATTTAGGCATCTCATAGTTCAGGGTCGTTGGTCCAGGCTTACCATCTCTGCTTTGTAAACAGGGCTTTGCAGGATTTTGCCTCCCAAATAAGAGTAAATCTTAAGACTTCGAAAGAATTATGTAAGATTCAGCATTCATTTTCTCTTTTGATATTTCACAGAGATTTAACACGAGACTAATGCCTTGATTTCATTACATGGTATTTTTGTTTTATATATTAATATGTATGAGGGCTACTCCAAAGTAATGCCTGTGTTATGATGTTGGCCCACCACAACAGAGGCAGATGTTGGTGGTATGGCAGTAGAGGTTGAACCTTCCCACCAATATTTCATTACATTCTCTTGCCACATGACAGCTGTCAGCAGAAGGGAACACTAACAAGATGATATCTGGCACAGAAATGCATATGAAGCAAAGGTGTGGCACTGAATTCTTCCATGCTAAAAAAAAAAAAATTGGAACCCACTGACATTCATCAACACTTACAGAATGTTTATGGAGACCAAACAGTGGATGTCAGCACAGTGAGGCAGTGCGTGGTGCGTTTCGGCTGTGGTGGCAGCGACCATCTGCACTGGTGCAGGTTTTTACAAGCATGGCATGCAAGGCTTTTGTTCATCACTGGTGAAAGTACACAGCTAATGCTGGTGACTGTACTAAAAAAGAGTGTTTTGTAGCTGAGAACTTGCTCTATCAGTGTTATTGTGCTCTTTGTATCTGTGGTAGTTTCCATGGAAATAAACGGGATACATTACTTTCTGAGAGCTTATATACTACATTAATGTATTTTATATACTAGCTCCCTCATGAATTTCTGTTGTCTTTAAGAATACCACCTTGTGCACTTGGACAACGCAGAGGTTCTTTACTAGTTCACCATGACTTTGGTGTTGACAAGTTTCCAGAGCCCAGAGGAGCTGTTGTCTTGTCCATTCAGGTTATCTAACACGCAGTTAATGAGTTGAGCAGAATTAGGTAATACATATTGTGCCTTCTTCTCTTTCTTTCTGTCTAGGTGTGGTGAAGCAGTGAATAAAAACAAGCACCTTATTACTGCTGACCAGCGGGAATATCAGCAAGAGCTCAAAAAGAACTATGGGAAGCTAAAGGAGAACCTCAGGCCCATGATTGAGAGAAAGATCCCAGAGCTGTACAGACCTGTAGTGAAAGTCAACAGCACAAGGTATGGCTAGGGCAGGGCTTCCTCTTGCAGCTATATAAAAATATGCCTCTTCTTAAAGGAAGAAAGGCCGTTCTACCAGTAGGTTTTGAAACATAGCAAAAAAACAGGCCATAATGCAGACTGCTAAATTCATCTTTGATGAAAAAAGTCTGCTGACTTCTACTGGAGCTGAATATGGTATGAATTCTGTCTCTCAAGCAGCTCCATTATGCATTATAATGCAAAACAAGAAGACTTTCCATTTGACCTAATAAAGAGTGAATTGAATTATCTTGCCATTTCTTAGGCATCTGAAGCTAGACAGAACATGTATGTGTTTATTTTGAACACGTGGCACTGTGTGATGTTAGCCAGCATGAAGTCAGTGATCCTTTCCATAACATAATCCATTTCAATGCCTTAACTGTGACATAAGAGTTTTTAATTCTTCTCTTTACTTACGAATGTATGCCTCTTCACAAAGCCACTGTGTCCAGAGTGAGGAGAGAGGGGAAGAAGGAATAAGCTTCTGATCTCCCCACACATAAGATGTTTCAGATGGTGATTTGTCAGCTGCTCCTTTTCAGTGGCAGGTATTTCCTAGATGTTTGTTCATTTGCTGACTTTATTTGTGGATTCATTTAATTGCAGGGAATCATTTCGTAACCAGAGTTTCAGGAAGTATGATGCCCAGACTTCACAGAGCACCTAAGGACTAGCTGCTTCTGCCAAGGAAGAGCTTTGTGCCACAAGCCAGAAGCATTCAACACCAGTGAAATAATAAATCTCCTCATACAGAACAGCATGTGTGCTTTCTGGACAGCATACAGAAAAGCATTTACATGTGATCTCAGACTCCAAATCATCTGTAAATCATGAGGGCTTGGAAGAGAGGGGTTGCTTTTTAGATGCTTTTGCATTTGTAGTAAAATAGTCATGTAATGCCAAGGATGGATGCCATTGGAAGGGTCAGTGGCATGACAGCAGTCACCACTGACAGACTCAGAACTCCGTGAGGGTTGGCTGAGGCGTTACATGAATCCAGACAAGATGTCTACTGAGTGCTGAGGAATGATGTCTATTTACTTTCCTTTTCCAAGACAGCATTTATCCTTGCTCACTTGGCGGGAAAGCACATTCTGCAAGTCAATCACATGCTTAAATGCTTTCTTAATGGCAGGGGACATAGGTACCTGCTCAGTGTCCACTGAGCTGGAGGTTTAGGTAGGAAAAATTCCCTTGGGAGTTTCTGTCCACAGTTTCCATCACAGTCTTTAACTGCAGAGAGTTCTATACACATTCTCTCACCATAGCTCAAAAAGTAGGAAGTAGCAGCAAGGAATTATTTTTACAGATTTTTAAAAAAATGTTTAAATTGTAGAGACAGCTACTTGACACACAGTTGGATTTCTTAATAATTAATGTCATGTTTAGCAAAGCTAACAAGTAATAGTTTAAATAGAAGGCGCTAAGCTATGTAATTTTTGTGATTTTTATTTTGTAATGCCATTATTTAAATAACCTTTTTCAAAGTCAACTACAACAGCACACAGTGAGAATTTCCTACAATGTACTCAGGCTTTACTGCATCTTTGGAGAAATCAGCACGTAATTTATGATGCCTAATGCTTAGAATTTTCTGAGCCCTGGACAAATATGTTACTAAATAATCTTTACAGCACTTCTCTGAAGTAAGGAAATATTACTGCTATTTTGCAGATGGGGATAAGGATGTTGGTACGCAACAAGAGCTCTTAAGACTTTAGAACTCATTGAGTGAGGCCACAGCAGAGTCACAGTTTGCACTATGTTTATTGTGTAATGCTCATGTTCTGAAATAAACAAAGCAAAACAAAACACAGAAAATCCTATGGGTTCTGTAAAAGTAAGGACATGTTCCATGTTGTGTGATCCCGTGCCATTGGTTTCCTTGAGTTGTAACAATCCTCTGGATAATCATCTGAGTCCTAAAGGCCTGTTTGCTCACATTTTAGGAGCTGAGCTCAGCCAGCTGTCCACTCTAGCCCTCAGTTTGTAGCCCATGTCATCTCTTTGCAAATGAAACGTGGTTTGTACGTTACTCTTGAGACATGAACTATATGAAATGTATTAAACATAGTAGTCACAAATAAGTGATCTCAGCATGGGCTATAAAATTGCTTTTCTGTGCTGTGAATCAATTTTATTGTATAGAGAAAATATGGATCTAGTAATTCTTTTGGAACTGTTCATTTTTACTGAAATAAGGCTCTTACGTATTTGCCTGTATTTGTAGTGTTATACAAGCATGCATTGAATGCCTAGCATTGAAATCCAGATCACAAAGCAGGTGAAACTCTAATAACCAGAGAGAGAAGGAATTTCAGCTAGAGAAGCATGTTTTGAGCTATTTAGCAAACATCTGTGAAACAGCTGGACAAGAGGATTATTTCCTAGTCTGCATTTCTGATTTTCCAAATGTGAGTGCCTGCACAAGCTCCCATTCCCAAAGGGTCTTCATGAATTCTGCTTAGCATTGCTGATACAATCAACATTGGGCCACCAGTGTCTAAGAGATTTCAGAGAGGTCTGCTGATGTAACAGGCCTCAACCACTGACTACACAGAAAACCATCCATATGAAATACAGTGATGGGAGAACAAAAGCCTAAGATCCAGCACGCTGCAGAGTGCATGATGGAAGTGGAGTTATGAGCAGGCTGCAGTGCTGCATGCTCTCACTTCCCAGACTGGAGCACACAGCACCAAATGCATGGTTGGTGTACTTTCATGGAAGCTGTCAGGCAAAAACTATTCAGAGAGGATTAAAAAAGGAGGAAAAGATAAAATGATTTTTTTTTAATATTCCTTTTTTTTTTTTTTTTTTTTTTTTTCTTTTTTCTTTTCATGCAACACCGGACTACAACTTCTGAATAGGTTTGGGACCTCCTTATCCCAAGATGGCCTGAATTCCAAAATTTAAACATAGGATCAAAAAGTAATTGGATAATTCTATAGAAAAATGGTACAGTGAGAGAAGTTAGACTCTGCAGTGAAGGTGCAGCCCAGCTGGGAAAGCCTTTGCTCTGCAGCATCCCAGAAGACTCTGGGTGTATAACAACGGCAGTGTCTTCTTATACATGCTGTAATTTTATCCTCTCCTGAGCATCTGCTTCAGCTCTGCTCAAAGACTGGCTGAGGTGACACACCATGAAATGTTTAAAGCAGAGAATATACTGGCAGCATGTGCCAGCGTGGACATAACATCCAGAGCAGTGAGGAAGCCTGAGTGAACCCACAGTTGCCCTCACATCCCGCCCCTCTGAGCGCTGCTCTGGCACAACTGGCAGCAGCAGTCTGGCTCTGGGTGCTTCATTGCTGCTGGGCCCCCTCTCCCTGCACAGGGTTGGGAAATCCACCTGGAGATTCAGGTTGCGCTGTTTCTCACACACACAGCAGCTTACAAACCAATCAGAAGGAAGAGAGGGCAAAGGCAGAAAGTCCTTCTGTTTCTTCCAGCACCGATACACTGCTGTACTCACTGACCAATGCAGGTTACAAGCCCACCCCCACTGCAGGCACCATCACAGGGCACTGAACGTGGCACCACAGGACATCATGCATGGAGGCCATCTTCCCTGAAAGGCAGTTGCACCTCGCTGCACCACTGAGCGTTCCCACAGCCCGCTAAGGGAAAGCATTCAGCAGGTGGTATTTGCAGCTGCAGAACTGGTGTATGTTTAATCCTCTGTTTAACCTCAGCTGCCTGTTTTCAAACAGTTCCCATCTCTGCCCGCAATGATGCTGCCGACCCCTTGGCCCAGTGCTATATCTGACCTCAGTGAACCCACATGAGGGTTGGGAAGGACAGGCAAGTGCAGCAAAAAGCTGCAGTCAGGTTCACTGAGGTTCACACGTGTGCAGGAGAGCAGTGAATAGACTCTATAGCAGAGCCAGACACATCAACATGTGCTGCCAAGGAAGCTGTGCAATGCCAGTGCTGGAAGTATGGTGGAATCAGAGAACCATAGAGTGGCTGAGGCTATCGGGCCTCTGTGTGTCTCTAGCCAAACCCTTACTCAAGCAGGGACACCCAGAGCAGGGTGCTGAGGGCCACATCCAGGCGGCTTCTGAAGATCTCCAAGGAGGAGACTCCACAGCCTCTGGGCAGCCTGTGCCAGGGTTCAGTCACTGACATAGCATAGGAGTGCTGCCAGATGTTCAGTGTGAACCTCCTGTGTTCCAGTTTGTGCCCTTTCCCTCTTGCCCTGGCACTGGGCACCACTGAACAAAGCCTGGCTCCAAACACTTTGCACTCTCCCCTCAGACATTGATGGTCATTGGTAAGATCCCCCGGAGCCTAATTTTCTATAAGTTAAACAGTCCCAGCTCTTTCAGCCTCTCCTTTATGAAAGTGATGCTCCAGTCCCTTCATCATCTCGGTCCCTCTCTGCTGGACTCTCTCCAGTATGTCCAACTGTCTCCTGTGCTGGGAGCCCAGAACTGGACACAGCACTCCAGGTTTGACCTCACCAGCACTGCTCAGAGTGGAAGGAGCATCTCCCTCAACTCATTTGCCATTTGCCAAATGCAGCCCAATATACCACTATGCTCCTTAGCAGCAAGAACAGATTGCAGGTTCATACTTCAACTTGGTGTCCACTAGGACCCCCAGCCCTGTTCTTCAGAGCTGTTCCACAGCTGGATTCCCCTAGCATGTCCGGGTGCCAGGTGCAGGACTCCATGCTTCTCCTGGTTGAACTTCTCAAGGTTTGCGTCAGCAAACTTTTGCAGATAGCTGAGGGCCCTCAGGATAGCTACTCAGCCTTTGGCCTATCAGCCCTTCCTCCCTGTTTTGTGTCATCTGTAAACAGGCTGAGGGTACCTTCTGCCATCACCCTAATCATTAACTACTATGTTAAATAGGACTGGAAAATTGCCCTCACTTCAGAAACGAACCAGAACTATTACAGCACTGTCTGCAGGAACAGGAAGAAATCTAGAAATGCTTTGAGGATTATCTGATTTTTGAATCCTCTGCAGGGCTCTGTATACATAGAACATTTCTAATTGAGCCGCCATCACATGGATTAAAACACCAAAGTGCATTCAGAGATGGAACCAGAAGCACGCCATGTGTTGAAAACAGGGATTCCTTGTCTGTTTTAGGAAGGCCTGACATGGCAAGAGGGTGTCTTTTTCTATACAATAACAGCTGCATCCCAAATGAGGCCCCTGGCTGTCAAAAATGAAGCAATAGGTCACTTTGGTTTACAGAGGAATCTGTACTCACTGACTGCACCAGGTTTTGTTGCCAGGAGGTGCTTCCACTTATAGTCAGGAGTTTTTCAGAACATAAATATAGCTTTATTAGACCTGGCATGCAGATCAGCTCATCCTGTTTCCTCCTTGTGCAGTGGTCAGTTTCAGATTCTCCAGAACCGGATATCAGTTATTAGGGAGATCCCACAACCAAATCTAATGCTATAAATCACAGACTGATCTTCAAGGCTTGTGTTCCAAGGGCAGCAGATGCAAAGTGGGAAGGAAGAACTCGTTCTATTCTCCAACTACATCATCTGTTAAGGTGAGACCTTGAGAGGCATCACTTAATAACCACCAGATGGGCTCGAGTTGTTAAATTAATCAGAGAAAAGCAGGGAAGAGATCAACTGACCGCCCTTCTCATCACGATGCCAAGTTTTCTTCCCTTGAACTTTTCCAGTCAAGGCCCTAAATATCCTAATCACAGTTCTCGTTTTTTTCCTTAAAAAAAAAAAAAAGGCAAAAAGCCCCATGAAGTACAACTGAAGCACAACTCTGCTAAGTTAAAACCTAATGAACTTAGTGAAATCTGTCACTGAAAAGTGATGTTTACACAAAGTCCATGACAAAGAGCAGCCCATACTAACCCAAATCTGCCAACAAGCACATTTTGAGAGTTTGCAGTGTGCAAAGATATAAAGAAAATTGCATGTGCCTTGCATGTGAAATGCAGGGATCCTCCAAAGTGTCCCTCAGGCTCTATCTCCTGCTGTGAGCCAAACCCAGATGAGTATCTGCCTTCCCTCCAAGAGGGGAGGAACTCCTCCATTAGGTAAAAGAATGCTCGGATCATTAGTTTCCTGACCTCGCCATTCCCTGGGGGGTACATGCACGAATTTGGGATTGCTCTAGCTGAGTTTAACTTTGGGAGTTTGTTCAACAAACTCTTGGCTCTGGAAGAAATTGCTGACATTTTTTTCTCTCCTCCTTTCCTCTTATAGCACAATACAGCTCTTGCTTTTCTCTTTCACTGCGGTTTTCAAGTTCTCTGCTGGGGGCTGTGAAATGCCTTCTGCTGGTATCCTGTGAATCCACCCCAATCCTCCTGCTCATGGACTCACTCATCTGCTCCAGCACAGCTGTCCTAGCTGACTTTTGATGACTTCTATTCTGTAGCATGTTTCCTCTGTCTAGTCTGAGAGCTGAGCTGCTCTATGCATGTACCTGTTGCAGAAATCACCCTGTGCCTGCTTGAGGTGCCAGGCAGCTCGTGAAAAATGTCAAGTCCAAGTAAAGCTACTGGTGGGGACCAAGTGTGGTAATAAAGTTGCACAATGACACTGATTCAGCTGAAACTACAATAGCTTTTTTACCCAGCTTAGAAGTAAAACAAAGGTCTGGCAGCTCTGGAGAAGCAATCATCCTTTGAAACAGTCCAGGGATAAAAGGTAGATCAAATCTAGA